GCCTAAGCTAATGCTTCTGACTAACATATACTGAGCTAAAACTATCCTAGGAGCTTAAATACCCAGTATCCCCATTACCATCAAAACAAACTCACAGACTGATAAGGCAGCTACGGAAACTCTATGTTACACATTTAAAAGCTACAGCTTTGTAAAGCTAAATGCCTTTCCAAGGATACAAATCCAGTGAATGAACATTCATACTATCAGTTTGCTCCTCAGGAGGGGTCTGATTGGAGAATTAAAATGAATACATATTATAACATTTTGCATTCAGAATAAGTGGGAGGGCTGGTAGGCTGGCCTGCTGGAGACTGGGATTGGCTGCAAATTGAAATCCAGAAATCAGCACTCTATCTCTGATTTAATACAACTGGGGAAAGGAATGGCATTGGAACAACTAGTAGGGGAAAAAGTGACAAATTAGGACCCATTGAAGGCATGATTGAAATTACAGTTCCTCATACTTCACTAATCTAGGCAAAGGTAAGAAATGTTAGGTCACAAGATGTCACAAAAGATGCTTTGTGAACATTCCTAGTAGACACTAGGAACTTGTAGCATTTCAATTCAGCATACAGCTGCACGCAATTTTTCCTTGTAGACTAAGGGTGCGGTGAGACCAGTTTCAGTTAGGCCATTGGCCCCTTGCAAAGCCTTGGTCAAAGATGGGAGGGAAAGAGGGAAAGAGGGAGGGAGGGAAGAAGGAAGGGGGGAGGAAGGAAGAAAAAGAAGGAGGTCTTACTTATGTAGCCCAGACTGGCTTCAAATTTGAGCTCCTCTTGCTTCAACCACCCAAGTTCTGAGTTTACAGGTATCTCCGACCACCTATAGCAATGCTTAACTTTCTAATGAAAAAGATGTAAATAATTAAAACTTTCTTTTTATGATGCAGCTTTAACTCCACAAAATACATATGAACACCTTTACTACTAGTGAATTAGTGCACTTTTGATCACTTGTGACAGAAATAACAGTTCAAATCGGCTTTTCTTTCCTTGTGCCAGTGTCTCACACCTGTAAATCCTAGCTACATAGGAGGCTGAGCTCTGAGGATCACAGTATACAACTCTGGGAAACAACAAAACCAATGAGCCAGCAAAAAGCCAGAAGTGGAGCTTTGGCTCAACTGGTAGTACCAGCCTTGAGCAAAAGAAAAGAAGAAGAAAGAAGAAGGAGAAGGAGGAGAAGGAGAAGGAGAAGGAGAAGGAGAAGGAGAAGGAGAAGGAGAAGGAGAAGGAGAAGGAGAAGAAGAAGAAGAAGAAGAAGAAGAAAGCCAATTGAGAGCAAAAGTCCAGTATTAATGTGTCTGTGCACACGCATGTAGGCACACACACAGAAGCTTTTCTTTGTTATCAGGAAACACATACACACTGAAGTATTGAGAATCGGAGTATCTCGTATTCTCCCACAGTTCCTACTCTCAAGTATGTAAGTCTGTGGGTGTGCATATGTGTGGATGGGTAGATGGACAGATACATAGATTAGAGACATAAGCATGCTAGTAAAATTCTATTCACTCTCTGAGAGGAAACAAATCCTTAATTTTGTTGCATTCTTTGTGTTACTTCTAAATATTTCTACTACAGCTGATAGAAGCTACCAGCCTGAGGTCACTGAAGGCAATACTGGAAAGACAGGTTCCAGCACACCACTGTAGAATTCTGCATACAATTTTTGCAAATCTTTCAAAGATGATTTTGGAATCAAATGAAGAGGAGAAGAGGGAGAGGGGAGAAAACAGTCATGAAAGTCAATGTATAGGCCTGGGAAGGTGGCTTAGTGGTAGAGTGTTTGCCTAGCATGCTTGAAGCCCTAGGTTTGATTCCTTACTTCACATAAACAGAAAAAGCCAGAAGTGATGCTATAGCTCAAGTGGTAGAGAGCTAGTCTTGAGCAAAAGAAGTTCAGGGACCGTGCCCAGGCCCTGAGTTCAAGCCCAGGACTGGCAAAAAAAAATTCAATATATATCCTACAAAATTAAGTAAAGTGAGGGAAAGGGTAGATTGGGAGGGATGGGTGATAAAGCTGAAAAGGGGTGACTTGATCAAGCTGCACTGTGTTCATAGACTGCTTTGTTAAATGGCAACTCCTCTGTATAACTACTCAAAGGTAATAAAACACAATAAGATAGAAAAAAGAAATAAAAGAAATTTCAACTTATCGTATCTATGTGATAAATGTATTACCAACATATTTCCCCCTGGAAATTGAGTAAAGCCATGTTTTAAGGCCATAAGTCTCTATAGAGTTTACATGTATGGTGTTGGGGATTGAACCCAGATCCTTAAGCATATGAGACAAGCATTCTGCCATGACCTACAGCACTAGCCTAGTCTTTTTTTCTAAGTAAAGAGTAGACTACAATTTAACCACAATACCTAAGTCTGCAGTATTTTATTATACTAATAGACAACAAACTGGTCAAGGTCTATCAGAGAAATACTAACAAGATTGCACATTTAGTGATCACCTTACTGTTAAACATTTAGCTGTGGATGGTGCACTTTGTACCTGCTTGAGCTAGGGAAGGAAAGCAATGTACCCTCCTCACCCCATCCTGCCTGGATATGGAGGACGAAAGCATGAAGGAAGGAGGGAATGCTTCAGCATAATTGCTACTAATAACCTTCCAAAGCCACACTTTATGGTGGGTCAGCTGTGTCCTCTTCAGATCTATCAAGGATAGAATGCCTGTTTCTCAGGCCATAGAACGATTGTAAAAATCACTAACTATCGTGCAATTATTGGGACCTGAGATTTGGCTGCTTAAACCCTGCACCTGCTGACCAGATGTTAACAAGACTGAAAGCCTGTGAATCTTAAATCTTTTCATTATAAAACCTTAAACAACAATAAGCCTGCCACTAGTGGCTCACGCCTGTAATCCTAGCTACTCAGGAGGCTGAGATATGAGGATGGTAGTTCAAAGCTAGACTGGGCAGGAAAGTCTGTGAGACTCTTATCTCCAATAAACCACTCAGAAAACTGGAAGTAGCGCTGTGGCTCAAGTGGTAGGCGCTAGCCTTGAGCTAAAGAGCTGAGGGACAGTGCCCAGGCCCAGAGTTCAAGCCCCATAACCTACAAAAAACAAAAAACAGTAAGACTACCTCAGGATTAGGGTAGTTTATGCTACTCACAAACATTATAGACTATGATAATGACAATTTGCCTTGTAAAGGTTAAAATGTGTTTGTGATTTTAACAGTATCTCACAATACTGTGAAATTTGTGAAAATTATGTAATTACTTAATCTCATAACAAAGTATTAAAAAGAAGAGGCTGAGATCTGAGGATCTTGGTTAGAGGCCAACCTACAAAGAAAAGTACTGAGAGTCTTATCTCCATTAACCACCAACTAGAGCTGCAGCTCAAAGTGAGAGAGCACTGGCCTTGAGCAATTATATTAAGTGAAGTAAGCCAGGCCCAAAGAAATATAGGTCCTATAGTTTCTCTTATTTGCAATAACTAGTATATGTCTGAGCAGAAAAGGTCAGATAAGTTGCTATTAGGCAAAATGAACCCCAAGATAAGGACACAAGTGGTTTTACTTTCTTGCTATTGTTTCTAACATTTATAAGGTGATATTTTTGTTGCTCTGTATGTCCCTCCCCCACGGTATAACCCCTGTTTTCACTGTATTTGATGTTGGCGTAATTTGGGGAGGGGAAGGGAAAAAACAAATTGTTTAAATAGGGATACAGGTGGACCCATTGCAACAATGAGGTGTACAAGATGCTATGTCGAAAAACGAACTTTACAACTTTGGCTGAGGGGAGGGGAGGGGTGTAGTCGTGGAAATGGGAGGGCAGGGATGGTAAGAGAAAAACAAAGGGGAGGCAGCAATGCTTGATAAGAATGTTCTCATTACCTTGTTCATGTAATTGTAACCCCTCTGAGCAGTATTTTCACAATAAAAAAGTATTAATTTAAAAAAAAAAGCTGAGGAACAGTGCCCAGGCCTTAAGTCCAAATCCTAGAAGCAGCACTAAAAAAAAAAAAAAAAAGACAAAATTTCCTGAACTTAGCATCACAAAGCAGACTGAATTTCAGACAAGGCAGTCAGGATGGAATTCTGTTTTTTCCTTCCTTCCTTCCTTCCTTCTTTTCCTTTCCTTTCTGTTCTTTTCTTTCTTTCTTTTTCTTTTCTTTTTTTGCCAGTGCTGGGGCTTGAACTCAGGGCCTGAACACTACCTGAGCTTCTTTTTTTTTTCATCAGTGCAAAACCTTTGTTTTCCCTCCCCACCACTTTACAGGATCTGAAAGTTTATTTTAATCCACAGTATCTTTCTTTTTAAAGACATCTATAATCAGTCATGTAAAATGTGAGGGGAAAAAACACTAACCAATTCACAACTTTGTCCAGCATTCCCCATTGCTACAACACATTTAGGATTAGTCTACAGCATTCACTACTTTAGCTGGTTCTGATACTGAGGCTTACTTTTTTTATTTGAGAATCAACACCTAAAGACTTAGCTAATTGTACTATTTTGTTTGTTTTCATAAAGACCATAACATTGAAGAGAAAGCTCAATGCTTGTCTGTAATTAGCACAATCTTCAAAATTGTACAAAACTTCAGAGCCACTTTTAGACTTCTTGTGGCTCTTGGGATACTTACCAGTGATGATTCCAATGTTGTACAATTTCCCTGAGCATCTTTGTTCAAGGCTAACACTCTATAGGAACCACTTGAGCCACAGGAACCACTTCTGCTTTTCTGTTTTATGTGGTACTGAGGAATTGAACCCAGGGCTTCATGTATGTTAGGTAAGCACTCTACCACTAAGCCACATTCCCAGCCAAAGAGGATTGGATTCTTAAGACATACTAAACATGATCTAACTTGTAGTAACGTTCTGAACTGTAACTCGTGAGGCTGAAGGTTAACTCTTCAAGTACAGTGTTTTATGATAAACAAACAGACAAACTTTACAATCCAAACTGTAATGTATTAACAACGTAGATTGGCAGATGAGTTGTGCCAGCAGGGAGACTGAATTCTTCGACAATATCGGTAGCCAGAATGGGTTGAACATTTTAGATGAACACGGAGCTCCAGCACAGCTCACGGGCCTGTGTTGCACTTGGTCAGGTCTCTCTGCTGCAGCTCATGCAGTGCATTCCTGATGGTCTCCACACACACTTCCCCCCTGTGATGTTTCTTGGATGCCAGGTTCCATACGTACTCAAATTCCTCTTCAGAAAGTCGGACACCGATGTTACATAGTATCTTTTTAATCTGGGGGAAAAAATGTATTAAGGCCACGCAGGATTCATGTTTTAAATTTTGTATTTAAAATACCTTCATCATATCAAATACTATGAATATTTATTTCCCCCCCCCCCGCAAAAGTATATATGTGTATGTGCCTGTATATTTTTTTAATGAGAAAATACCCAAATTCTAGAAGTTTTACCACAGGAATGAATTTGTTATTATTAACATAGGACAGAATATTATGAATAGAAGATATGTGTTGACTTTGTGTTATGAGTGCTTATGAACTTTTTTGCACTCAGGACCTCAAGCTCTTGTTAGGTTTTTCCGCTCAAGGCTGGCACTGTACCACTTGAGCCATACCTCCACTTTTGGATTTTTCCTAGCTAATTGGAGATAAAAGTCCGTGAGATTCTTATCTCCAATTAACAACAAAAAAGAAAGCCAAAAGTGGAGTTATGCTTCAAGTGACAGAGCACTAACTTTGAGCAAAATAGCTCAGGGACAGTGCCCAGGCCCTGAGTTCAAGCCCCAGGAACAGTACAAAAAAAAGTTCTCACAGACTTTCCTGCTCTGTCTAGTTTCAAACTAAAATCCTCAGATCTTAGCCTTCTGGGTAGCCGACAGCATCTGGCTTGTATTTTTGGTTAGTACGGTTGGTTGGTTTATTAAGAGAAGCAGCAAGAGAAAAACAAAAAGGGAGAGAAAGAGAGAGCGACAGAAAAAGGGAGGGAGAGAGAAAGGGAAGGAGAAGGAGGAGGAGGGAAGATGGGAGGGAGAATATTGTGAAGCTTACAGGAAACAAAAAAATAAGAGATGAGTAGGAAAAATATTTTTAAATATTATAATACTAGGAAAATACTAAAATAGTAGACCGTGAGTGGGAAAGCCAAAGAAATGGAATGGTTACAGAATACTTCTATTAAACAGAATGTAAAAGGTCTTCTTGAAATCATACACCTTTGTCAGAAACTAGCCGTACAAATTCACACTGAATACTAAAACAGAATAGCGGAGCTGCTAGCACCTTCAGCTGCAAAAACAGCCAATGCCCCTAAGCACAGCTGCTGTCCCCCCACAGATAATGGTAGATAACTGGTGGAGAAAATTCCCAGAATGGTCCTAGGCCCCAGAGGTATTTCACCCAGTGGTTAGCAAACTACCAGGAGTGTACCATAGACAGATAACACAGAGTGAAAGCTACATTGTCAAACTAATGAAATTACTTCCACCATGTCTCAAAGTTCTTGCTATCTACAATTGTGAACTAAAGGGTGTCTAGTTAGAGTATTTAGGTACCAAGAAATAAGCAAGAGCCAGGCCCTGGTCCTTCCTGCCTGAAATCTACCTATTTAGGAAGCTGAGATTTGAGGATCTGTCTTTGAAGCCAGACTGGGCAAGAGAGTCTATGAGACTCCTATCTCCAGTTAACCAGCAAAAGCTGGAAGTAGAACTGTGGCTCAAGTGTTAGAGCACCAGCCTTGAGTTCAAGCCAGAGTACAAGGAGAAAAGAAGGAAAGAAAGAAAAAAAGGGAGGAAAGAAGGAAGGAAGGAGAGGGAAGGAAGGAAAGAAGAAAGGAAGGAGAGGGAAGGAAGGAAGGAAGGAAGGAAGAGAGAGAGAGAGAGAGAAGGAAGCCAGGCACCAGTGGCTCACACTTGTACTCACACTTGTAGCTCACACTAGCTACCCAGGAGGCTGAGATCTGAGGATCATAGTTCAAAGCCTGCCCAGGCAGGAAAGTCCATGAAACTCTTACCTCCAATTAACCACCAGAAAACTGGAAATAGTGCTGTGGCTCAAGTGGTAAGAGTGCTTGCCTTGAGCTGAAGAGCTGAGGGACTAGCACCCAGGCCCAGAGTTCAAGCCCCACTATTGACAAAAAGAAAAAAAAGAAAGAAAGAAGATACTAGGCACCAGTGTCTCAGGCTTATAATACTAGCTACTCAGGAAGTGAAGATCTGAAGATTTTGGTTCAGAGCCAGCTTGTGAGGACAAATATTCAAGAGGCATGTTTTAAGTGGTAGAGCACCAGCTATAAGTGGCAAAAGCTAAGCAAGCATGTGAGATCTTGAGTTCAAGACCCAGTATTGGGAAAAAGAAAGAATTGTGCCAGGAAAGACAACTGTGGTGGTTTAAGCCTGTAATCTCAGCACTCAGAAGGCTGAGGCAGGAGAGTCTTTAGTTCAAAGCCAGCCTAGGCTTACATATAAGGCCTTGTTTCAAAAAAACATAATTATAGTCATTGATGCACAAAGATGTTCATCCTTGTTGTATGTTTATATGAGATTGACATTTCTTTTTTTTTTTTTTTTTTTTTCGGTCAGTCCTGGGGCTTGAACTCTGGGCCTGGGGACTGTCCCTCAAGTTCTTCAGCTCAAGGAAAGCGTTCTACCACTTGAGCCACATTGCTACTTCTGGTTTTCAGGTGGTTTATTGGAGATAAGAGTCTCTCGGACTTTCCTGCCTGGGCTGGCTTTGAACCGAGATCCTCAAATCTCAGCCTCCTGAGTAGCTAGGATTACAGGCTTGAGCCACCAGACTTTTTTGTTTTTTGCCAGTTCTGAGGTTTGAACTCAGGACCTGGGCACTGACCCTGAGCTGCTTTTGCTCAGGGCTAACACTCTACCACTTGAGCCACAGCACCACTTCCAGCTTTTTCCATTTATGTGGTACTGAGGAATCAAACCCAGGGCTTCATGCATGCTAGGCAAGCACTTTACCACTAAGCCACATTCCCACCTGACTTTACTTTTGAAGTCATTGCTTTACCTCTTCTTTCGATCTAGTCTGGAAGAAATCGTTTTCATACACTCCTTTCTGGGCAAAGATGTTAGGATACAGTAACGAGTAAGCATCACCCTCTTCGCCATAATTTGTTCTGTCACTGACGCGACGAATTCGTGGGACAGGAATATCAGATCGGATGGTCGGAACACCAAAGATGGGGTAACCTAGGTCATTGATCAGGGAATAAAACAACTAAAATGAGGCTAGGCGATACAATAACTGACTGCCATGTTGTGGCTCCTGGGAGCTTGAAATGTGGCTGGTCTGAATTACAACGTGTGTAAGAGCAACTGGTGTCCCAGCTAGTGGGGAGACTGAGGGGCATTTGAGCCCAGGAGCTGGCGGATAGTCTGAACAACAAAGCAAGAGCCCATCTTAACAGAGGGAAGGAGGGAGGGAAAGCCTAATCATTTTGTTTTGATTTGGGATACTTAGATTTATATATACAATTAATTGCTCCTGTTTCCTTTATTTATGAGGTTTTTTGAATATACTACAAAATTTTAAATGTAAGGGTAATTCCAATTGCATTTCTGTTGGTGAACACCCAGTTGTAAATGCAGTGATGTTAGGATAGAAAGCAGGTCTATTAGATCTGATGAGTCTGGCCCTCATGGCTCACATCTGTCATCCTAGCTACTCGGGAAGCTGAGATCTGAGGACTGAGGTCCAAAGCAGGCCATGAACTAGCCAATTAACTAACACAAAGCTAGAAGTGAAGATGGTAGAGTGGCAGTCTTAAGTGAAAAAGGCATGCAAGCGCTTGAGGTCCTGAGTTCAAGCCTCAGTACAAGAACCAAAACAAAACAAAATCTTGATGAAAACATTTAAATGTCCTTTATAATGTCCTTAATCCAGGAACATGACCTTGAGCAACATTAAATACGTTCTAGACAGTCAATATTTTGGTACACAAATCTCCCACAATTTGTAAAGTGAGATTAGAAGATTAAGGTGTGCCAAAACCTATTTAGGATTTTGGTCTATGCTTATATTTCCAGGAACATAATAGCCTGGAGCTCTGGAACCATATTACCTATGGGCAGAGGCTCATCAATTCTTACTTAACTTCTCTCTCTTACTTTTCTCCCCTGTAAATGAGCATAGCCATCAGCCATAGTAACAAAGCTGAAATAATAATTCCATTAATTCTTAATATATAATCACAAAACAAATACTTCCCATTGTTGCTATTACTTTATTATGCTATTATTTCTGTATATGAAAAAAAATCACTTCTTCAAGAAAATAATTTCCAGCCGGGCACCGGTGGCTCACACCTATAATCCTAGCTACTCAGGAAGCTGAGATCTGAGAATCACAGTTCAAAGCCAGCCCAAGCAGGGAAGTCTGTGAGACTTATCTCCAATAAACTACTCAGAAAAAGCTGGAAGTGGTGCTGTGGCTCAAGTGGTAGAGCACTATCCTTGAGCACAAAGAGGCTGGGTAACAGCGCCCAAGCCATGAGTTCAAACTCCAGGACTGGCAAAAAAAAAAAAATTAAAAAGCAATTTCGTATCCTTCAAATTAAGATAAAAATCTTCTCTGCCTAAGAAAATTTGTTATTGTGATCTATAAGCACATAAAGGCATTTTCTCTAATGCAAAGTGATTTTCTGCCTTGAGTTTTCAGACAGTTGCATGCCTGTCTCCTTGGACTTTTTTTTTTGGATCCGGTCATGGGGCCTGAACTCTGGGCCTGGGCACTGTCCCTCAGCTCTTCAGCTCAAGGCTAGCGCTCTACCACTTGAGCCACAGCACCACTTCCGGCTTTTTTTATTTTTTCTGCTTATGTGGTGCTGAGGAATCGAACCCAGGGCCTCATGCATGCAAGGCAAGCACTCTACCACTGAGCCACATTCCCAGCCCTCTCCTTGGACTCTTAAGGACAAAACTCCAAATTTTGTTCATGCTTGTATCCCCTAGAACACCCAAAGTAATACCTCAGTCTCATTAGTGAATAAATATTGGCTAGATTAATAATTCTGAGTACATGAAATTATCATGTTCAATATTGTGTTTGGGGAGATAGAAATTTAATTCCGACCTTTTGAAATACCTTAAAATATAATCATGTCTAGAAAAAAAATCATTGCAGATAATAATTAATAAAGGTGAGCAATACAAGTAGATGATAAGCCCTTGATCTAACAGGACTGGAGTCTTTATAAAAAGAAGAAGTGGCTGGGAATCTGACTTAGTAGTAGAGTGCTAGCCTACCATGCATGAAGTCCTGAGCTCAATTCCTCAGTACCACATAAACAGAAAAAAACAGAAGTGGTGCTGTGGCTCAAGTGGTAGAGTGCTAGCCTTGAGCAAAAGGAGCTCAGGGACAATGCTCAGGCCCTGAGTTCAAGCCCCAGGACTGGCAAAAAAAAAGAAGAAGAAGAAGAAGAAGTTTGAATCAGGTCGTGGTGGTTCACACTTGTAATCCCAACTTCTCAAAAGTTGGAAATAGAAAAATACACAGTTCAAACCATCTGAAGAGAAAAGATAGTAAGACTTTAACTTTAACCACAAGCTAGGGGTCAGTTGCTGGTGGCTCATAGCTTAAATTCCAACTACTCAGACGGCTGAGATCTGAGGATCACAGTCCAAAGCCAGCCCCCAAAAATGCATGAGACTCTTACCTCCAATGAAGCACCAAAAAAAGCCAGAAGTGGAACTGTGGCTCAAGTGATAGAGCAATAATAGCCTTGAGCAAAAAAGCTCAGGGACAGTGCCCAGGCCCTGAGTTCAAGCCCTACAGCAGGCCAAAAAAAAAAAAGAGTCAAAGAGTACTGAGGTGTGATCCAATTGGTATACTGCCTGCCTAGCAAGTAAGAGGCCCTGGGCCCAGTACCCAGAACCATACAACATACTCACTGGAGGGAGCAACACCAGGAGCAGATAAAGGCAGAGACCAGGGAGCTGCAGCAGGGCTAAGCAGTTCCTCGCTGCCTCCATGCCAGTAAATCTAGGAGAGTCATTCCAACACATTCTCCTTGATAGTCCACAGAAGGTACCAACTCTGCCCGCAGCCCACACCTGAACCTCAGACGTCCAGCCTGAGAACTCTGTCTTTGAAGCCACCCAGCTAGTGGCCAGGCACACCAGCTCCCACCTGCCATTCCACCTGCTCAGGAGGCATAGGTAGGACAATCGCAGACTGAGGCAACCTTGAGGCCAAAGAGTGGGAAACTATCTGAAAATAACTAAGCCCCCCCCCAAAAAAAGGCTAAAGTATGATTCAAGTGATAAAGCAGTTGTCTAGCAAATGCAAGGTCCTGGGTTCAAAACTGACCAAAGGGAGAAAAAAAACTTCTCTACTTGGTATACTTCGTTATGGCAGCCCTATCAAGCTGATGTGGAGAGTGGTATTTGTTTTATAAAAAGCTCTTTAAATATTTGAAGGCAGAGTGTGTATAGAACTAAGAAGCACATGGCTGGGAAGTCTCATGAAATTGGTTAAAGTCTGAATTATTACAAATACAACATGCAATGTTCTCATTTATGAGGGTTTCTATTCCATTAATACAGAGAAAAATCATTTTAGATGGGTGCTGGTAGCTCACACCTGTAATCCTAGCTACTCAGGAGGCTGAGACCTGAAGACTGTGGTTCAAAACCAGCCTGGACAGAAAAGTCTAAAAGACTAATTAATCAGCAAAAGGTTGGAAGTGTATTGTGGCTCACATGGTAGAGGACCAGCCTTAATGGCAAAAGCTAATCAAATGCACAAGACCCTGAGTTCAAGCACAAGTACAGTATTGGTGCATACGCATGCGTGCACGCGTGCGCGTGTGCACACACACACACACACATACACACGAACCATTTTACCTTGAGTCCTCATTAGCAGTTCAGCCAACGGTTTGTGAGATGCCCCTAAGTGCTTAGAATACAGAATTAAATGTAAAGTCACAGCTTTGAAAATTGTTCTCTCTGGTGCAGCAAGAACCGAGGCACAAAGGATGCTTCACTGATCATTTTGAAACTTGACACATTTTGTGACATACTTACAAATAGATGGAACAGCTCCAACAACTGCATTGATCTCAGAAGAAGTTGTCTTATAATAGTGAGAAACTTTATCGCTCGGTCTCAGAAGTGTCCGCAGAGTCTGCTCTGAGCTCCCTGGTTCTTTTGGGACAAGATCTTCAGGCTGAATCAGCAGAGTTGATTCCATTTCTTCTGAGTTAGCCTCACTGGGAGATGCGCAGTCTGATTTTCTACCTTGAGGGAAAATGGAGAGTCAAGTTCCCAGTGGAAACCAAACAGGAAAACCATCATCAATGCTAACCCTACCATGGAATAAACAGCAAGTTCAGGCCAATGTTGTTCACCAGATAATCTGAGCCTAGAATTACCTGAGGAGTTTCGTTTTGCCACTCCATTTTACTCCAAAATAAAAATTTCAAATATGAGAGACTAAGAGGAAACATAGAACCTATTCTTTGCTCTCCTTAAAAGATGAGAGGTGTATAATTTCCCTTATTTGTAGAAGCCAGATTTAGCTTATAAACTTATAAGTAAATATGTTGGGTGGTATGCAAATGTATACAAATATAGTAGATTCAAGGGAGAGCTCAGGTAATGTAATTCCTTCGAAAGGCAAAAATCAAAGTTCAACAAACTAAAACACCAGGAAGTGGGTGCTGAAAAGAGGTAGGAAGGTCAAGGGGAGAGGAATAAACAAATGAAGAGGAGAAGAAGGGAGAATGTGGTCAAGAATCCAATGTAGATCCTGCAAAATTAAGAAGAGTGAGGGAAGGAATGGGTGTGGGAGGGAGGGTTGAGAATGTTGAAGAGGTGACATTGACCAAGAGCTATGGCAGTCATAGGCTGCTTTGTTAACTGGTAACTCCTTTGTACCACTATAGAAAGATAATAATTAAAAATTAAACTTTAAAAAGAATACTGTGTGTTCTTACATTTAACTCAAACTAACAGATTGTCCTGGGGGAAAGTGGGATAAAGTTGAATGCAGGGAGAACATGTATTGAAACCATCAAGAGAGGAGGTAAGACTCCAACGTGCTGTCAGGCATCAGTGGCTCACACCTGTAATCCCAGCTAGTGGAGGAGGCTGAGATCTGTGGATCCTAGTTCAAAGCCAACAGGGACAGGCAAGTTCAAGATACTTTTATGGCCAATTCACCAGCAAGAGACCAGAAGTGGAGGCCTAGCTCAAGTTGTAGAACTCCATCTTGACTGATAAAGCCAAGCAAGCAAGAGCCACAAGGCCCTTAAGGGGTTTTTGTTTGTTTGTGGGGGGGATGATTTTTATTGTTGATGTTTTTGGGTTCTTTGCCAGTCCTGAGGCTTGAACTCAGGGCCTTGGCACTGTCCCTGAGCTCCTTTTGCTCAAGGTTAGCACTCTAGTACTTGAGCCACAGACAGCACCACCTCGGGATTTTTCTGTTTATGTGGTACTGAGGCATCAAAACCAAGGCTTCATGCATGCCAGGCAAGCACTCTACCACTACACTATATTCCCAGCCCCAAGGACCTTCATTTAAGCCCTAGTACACACACACACACACACACACACACACACACACACACACGTACACACACACACGTACACACACACACACACACACGTACACACACACACACACACACACACACACACTGTGAACTCAGAAAATTATTTTAACTCATTATATAACTAATTCCTTACAGATTAGTATATCAAAGAAAACCCAGGGCTGCATCTTAAAACATGTGCTTAGCATACATGAAAGGAAGTGTGAATGTGGGGCTGGGGATGTGGCTCAGTGGTGAGTGCTTGCTTAACATGCATGAGGCCATGGGGTTCATTCCCCAGGACCACATACACAGAAAAATATTTTTTAAAAAAATTAAAATATTCACCAGCCATACAACAGGGTCTCATATGTAAGATATACTTAGAACTCAAAAAATTAAATCCCCCAACAACAAATCCTCAAAGAAACAACTGCCTGATAAATAAGTGGGCTAAAGACTAAAAGAGAAACTTCTCTGAAGAGGAAATAAGAATGGCCAATAGACACATGAAGAAATGCTCAACCTCTCTAGCCATAAAAGAAATGAAAATCAAAACAACATTGAGATACCACTTCACTCCAGTTAGAATGGCTATAATCAGGAAATCTAATAACAACAGATGCTGGATGGGGATGTGGCCAAAAGGAAACTCCACTGCATTGTTGGTGGGAGTGTAAACTTGTTCAACCACTTTGGAAAGCAATATAGAGGTTCCTCAAATGACTCCACATAGAGCTCCCCTATGACCCAACAATCCCACTTTTGGGCTTTTACCCAAATGATCACAAACAAGGTCATACCAAAGCTACCAGCACAACCATGTTTATCGTAGCATTTTTCACCATAACTAAGATATGGAACCAACCCAGATGCCCCTCAATAGATGAACAGATCAAGAAAACATGATTATATATATATATATATATATATATGTATGTATGTATACACACACATATATACATACAATGGAATTCTATGCCTCCATCAGAAAGAATGATATCGCCCCATTTGTTAGGAAATGGAAAGACTTGGAAAAATTATATTAAGTGAATAAGCCAGGCCCAAAGAAACATAGGTCCCATGGTTTCCCTTATTTGCAATAAGTAGTACATGTCTAGGACAAGCAGAAAAGGGCAAAAGCTATGTACATATCACCATATAAAATGATGTTAAGTGAAATGAATGCCAAGATAGAGACACAAGTGGGTTTTTTCTTTCTTGCTATTGTTTTTAATGTACTTATAATGTACTATGTGCTTTTTTTTTGTTTCTTTTATATGTTCTTCTCCCATGGTATAACCCCTGTTTTCACTATATTTGATTCTGGTGCCCTGCATCTTGTACACACATTTTTCTAATTTGGGGAGGGGAAGGGAAATAACAAAATGCTTAAATAAGGATATAGGTTGACCCATTATAACAATGAGATGTACAAGACTCTATGTTGAAAATGAACTTTACAACCTGTGGGGGAGAGCTGGGAAGATGGCTCAGTGGTAGCGTGCTGGCCTTGCATGCATGAGGCCCTGAGTTCAATTCCTCAGCACCACATAAGCAGAAAAAGCCGGAAGAGGTGCTGTGGCTCAAGTGGTAGAGGGCTAGCTTTGAGCTGAAGAGCTGAGGGAGAGCACCCAGGCCCAGAGTTCAATCCCCATGACCGACAAAAAAAAAAAAAACACTTGTGGGGGAGGGGGTAATTGTGGAGGTGGGAGGGAAGGGATGGCAGGGGAAAAACAAAGGAGGAGGTAACAATGCTTGATAGGAAATGTACTCACTACCTTACTCATGAAACTGTAACCCCTCTGTACAGTATTTTTACAATAAAAAACATATTAAAAATTTAAAGAAAATATGGAACTGGGAATGTAGTGTAGTGGTAGAGTGCTTGCCTAGCATGCATGAAGCCCTGGGTTGGATTCCTCAGTACCACACAAACAGAAAAAAAGCCTGAAGTGATGCTGTGGCTAAAGTGGTAGAGTGCTAGCCTTGAGCACAGCAAAGCTCAGGGACAGAGCCCAGGCCCTGAGTTCAAGCCCCAGGACTGGCAAAAGGGGAGGGATGGAGGGAGGGAGAAGTTTATGAAAAAAAACTTAAGGGCTGGAAATAATGCATGCGCTTATCATGCATGAAGCCCTGTGTTAAATTTTCATAACAAAAGGGTAGAATTGTAATTGTAAGCCATGATCTTTTGCAGATTTGCTTTGCTGAGTCAATTCTGAACTTCAAAGAGTAAATTCCAGAGACATTGTTTTCTCATTGTTTTCCAAAAACCTGGTTATTCCACAGCTACCAGTAGAGGGCACTGTGGTGCTTTGACGTCCTGAAGAACTTCAAGCTGGGTTGGGGCCTTGAGGTCCAATCAAGAAATGCAAAGGCAAGTGGGCCTCCAGTACCAAAGAACTGTGATGAACCTTTCCATGATGTACAACCTTTGCCAAAAAAGCATTCACGTCCTCCAGATCCACTAACACCGCCTCCCCTCAACAAAAAGCAGAGAGCTAGAGAAGTCTGACAGAAAACCTCAAAAAACTGAAAGCCAGTGCTTCCCGTACTCACCCTGTTCTCTACAGCCCAGCAGTAAGACACAATTTGATGTATGAATATTCCTGGTAAAATTAATGTTGGACTCCTCTGTACCTACTGGACTGAATGGCCCAAACACTCGTACTTTCTGGCCTAAAATCGCAGAAGGCAAACTCCTCAGGGACTCCACTGAGTACCAGTTGCAGAAGTACATGCCTATAATTCAGCACTGGAGAGAGGGAGAGAGGGAGGGGAGGATGGGGGAGGAGGGAGTAGGAAGGGGGAAAGGAGAGGGAGAGAGAAGGAAGGAGGGAGAGAGAGATAAAGGAAGAGGAAGAGGGGGAAAAAGGGGGAGAGGGGGGGGAGGGGGAGAGGGATGGGGAGGAGGAGGAAGCAGGGGAGGAGGACTCCACTGAAACTGGGAATAATTTAAACAACTCTTGGTGCCAGGCAGCCATGGCTCCCAGCTATAAGCTGCTCAGGAGGCTGAGATCTCAGGGTTGTGGTTCAGCCCTGGCCAAAAAAAAAAGAGTCCTTCATCTCTAATAAACTCCCCAGAAAAAGACAGACGTGGCACTGTGGCTCAAGTGGTAGAGAGCTAGCCTTGAGCACAAAAAGGCTCAGGGACAGTGCCTAAGTCCTGAGTCCAAGCCCCTGGACTGGCAAAAAAGCAAAAAACAAAACAAAACAAAAAGAAAACTATTGATTTGAAAGCAGACATCATTAAGTTGTTTTGGAAGGAACCAATTGTGTCAACCCCTTGATTTCTGAGAAGGAGGGCATAGATGGGCTGGGAATGTGGCTTAGTGGTAGAGTGCTTGCCTAGCATGCATGAAGCCCTGGGTTCGATTCCTCAATACCACATACACAGAAAAGGCCAGAAGTGGTGTGGTGACTCACATAGTAGAGTGCTAGCCTTGAGCAAAAGAAGCTTAGAGACAAGTGCCCAGGCTCTGAGTTCAAGCCCCAGGACTGGCAAAAATAAATGGCATAGCATCATTTTATATGAAAATAAGTAAAGACCATTCTGCCACTTTCCCAGTGAATGGGACGAAAGGCTGTCCCTCACACATTGAGGGAAGGCTCATGTAGTCATTTGGTTTAAGCCTTGCAAAAAGGCATGATCTAAGAATAAAAATGAGAATGGTAGCATATTTACTTTTCCAGAGGAAAGGCATTCCAAGGGGAAATAAAAATGCTAAAACAACCTTTTAAAAATGTTAATCTTCTCTAATAATCATAAAATTAAAGCAAATAACATATCATTACATACCAACTAAATTATAAGAATGTTTGAAATAATACTCGATGGTAGCAACGTTGGAGTAAAATCAACTGACAAAGTTACAAATAGGTACAATTATTTAGAAAAGCAAAATTAAAATAGAGCTACTTCTGGGACACTAATAACACTCTTAAGAAAGGAGATATAAGTAGAAACGGAAAGCTTTTTGAGAGTAGATAGTCATATCATTACCTGTCTTACTTTTAAATGATCTGGAAACAACCTAAATTTCCCAGCAAGTAAAAAAGGTTTAGTATTTAATACATAAGTAAGCACAGGGAATTATTTTTTAAAAAAAACTTTAAAAAGCCAGGCAGCTGTGGCTCCTGCCTTTATATAATCCTAGCTACTCAAGAGTCTGAGATCTGAAGATTGTAGCTCAAAGGTAGCCCAGGCAGGAGAATCCCTGAAACTCCTATTTCCAATTAGCTGCCCATATAAAAGTCAGAAGTAGAGCTGTGGCCCCATTGGCAGAGTGCTATCCTTGAGCAAAAAATCTTAGGGACAGTACTCGGGCCCTGAGTTCATGCCCTAGGACGGAAGAAAGAAAGAAAGAAAGAAAGAAAGAAAGAAAGAAAGAAAGAAAGAAAGAAAGAAAGAAAGAAAGAAAGAAAGAAAGAAAGAAAGAAAGAAAGAAAGAAAGAAAGAAAGAAAGAAAGGAGGGAAGGAAGGAAGGAAGGAAGGAGGGAAGGAAGGAAGGAGGGAAGGAAGGAAGGAGGGAAGGAAGGAAGGAAGGGAGAAAGAAGGGAAAGACGGGAAGGAAGAAGAGGAAGGAAGGAAGGAAGGAAGGAAGCTCACATTCCACAAAAAAAAAATTGGGGGGGGGGGGGTGTCTGGTCGTGGGGCCTGAACTCTGGGCCTGGGCGCTGTCCCTCAGTTCTTCAGCTCAAGGCTAGCGCTCTACCACCTGAGCCACAGTGCCACTTCCGGCTTTTTTTCTTTTTGCTTATGTGGTGCTGAGGAATCGAACCCAGGGCCTCATGCATGCAAGGCAAGCGCTCTACCACTGAGCCACCTTCCCAGCCCTCCACAAAAATTTGAAAGATGAATTTTCTCTGCCAAATGAAATGGCATATCTATTGTTATTTTAGAAAAGTTTAAAATACATATAAAAATCCTCTCATGCTGGTAAACATCTGTAACTCACACAATTGTGAGGCTGAGGCAGAAGGTTGTGAGTTCAAGGCTAGCCTGGGTTATATAGTGAGACCCTCTTTTAAACTAAATAACTAAACAAAGTAATACAAACACACATGTACATGTGTATATATTTATAGCTACCTCTAGGGACTGCTAAAGGAAGGTCATATATATATATATGAAAATACTTAAATCAAAACTAAAGATTGCTTTTTAGACAGTCACTGATGGCTCACACTTATAATCCTAGCTATTTAGGAGGCTGAGATCCAAGAATCCCAATTTAAAGCCAGTCTGGGCAGACAAATCTAAAAGAAACTCTTATCTCTAATTATCAAGCAAAAAGCTGGAGTGGAGGTATGGCCCAAGGAGAGCACCAGCCTTGATTGAAAAAAAAAAACAAAAAGCAAGAGTCCAAGCACCAACACTGGCACATGTAAAATAAATAAATAAATAACTTTCAAAAATCAGATACCTTTAATAATGACTCTTTTTTCATAGTCTTTAAGAAGAAATGTGTCTTTCCAGTTCAGAAAATTTGCAAATTCTAGATAGTTAATCATGCCATCATTATCCACATCACAGTAGTCAAATAGTTGGTCCAGGAGCTTCATATCCAAACGTAAATTGGCCTGGTGACAAGCTCCTAGCAGCTCTGCTTTATCTATCATTGCATCTCCATTCTGTTGCACATGAAACAAAAATAGAAAGAAAAAAGAAGCAATTAACACTAGCTGTGGAAGCAGAGAGCACCAATTGCTTAACAACAAGAAAAAAATCAAGATTTGAGGGTACTGGGGCTGGGAATGTGGCTTAGTGATAGAATGCTTCCCTAGCATGCATGAAGCCCTGGGTTGGATTCCTCAGTACCACATACACAGAAGAAGCCAGAAGTGGTGCTGTGGCTCAAGTGGCAGAGTCCTAGTCTTGGGTAAAAGAAGCTCAGGGACAGTACCCAAACCCTGAGTTCAAGCCCCAGGACTGGCAAAATTGATACTTACAATCCCAGTTATGAGGGAGGTATAAGTAGAAGGTCTCAGTTCAAGAATAGTCTGGCCTCCCCCTCCAAAAATGTGTGTGTGGGGGGGGGGGTGGGTATGACCACTGCACACTGGTAGTTCACACCTGAGATACAAGATGACATTTCCTGTGGCAGTGTTTTGTACTGCTGACAGCTCTTTCCAACTTTCTTTTTTTTGACATGAGGCCTGAACTCTGCGCCTAAGCGCTGTCCCTGAGCTCTTCAGCTCAAGCCCAGTGCTCTACCACTTGAGCCACAGAGCCACTTCTGGTTTTCTAGTGGTTTATTGGAGATAAGAGGCTCACGGACTTTCCTGCCCGGGCTGGCTTTGAACCATGATTCTCAGATCTCAGCCTCCTGAGTAGCTAGGATTACAGGCATGAGCTACCAATGTTCTGGCTTTGCCAGACACCTTTGTGATGTCAACTGACTCGCAAACTTCATGAAAATGTGCCTCTTATATACCCTCTCAAGCCAGTTCTAGCATGTGACTGCTACTCTAGCTTATGATTAACTGCCCTGGTCTACACATCACCCAGTAAAGGGTGTGATGTATTATAGCCATTCCATAAATAACAATTAATTTCATAAGCCAAGAATATTCATTTAGGAAATCATAGCTGGGCTGTTTTAATTTTTTTCTATTCAGATTCAAATCATTAATGATCCTGCAGCTGTACGTGGCCCACATCCCATCACCCTCACCATAAAATGTTCCGTAAGGACACCAAGCTCTACACTTTGCCTATTAAAAGTTAACCATTTAAAAGGCATAGCAACATTAAATAATTCTCACTAATTTCCTCCCTGCTTAATTTAATTTTATCATAAGGAATGTGCCTGGTGGTTTACTCAGATAATCAACAGCTATTAAGATGATCATATTTCCCATAACTGCATTTCAAATGAATTTTTTTAAAGCATAGCACTATGTACCGTGGCAGGTTGCCTCATGTTACACTATGTAAATTAAATTCCCCTCAAATATCATATTTATGAGATAAATGACACTTCAGTGGAAAGGGGCTGAGATGTAGGTCAGAGACAGAATGGCAGAGCAATTGCCTGGCAGGTATCAAAGCCCTGGGTTCTATCTCTAGCATTCAGAGAGAGACAGAGACTGGAACAGAGAGACGGGGACAGATACTTGGCTTGAACTCAGGAGTGTTTCACACTTACTAGATACTGTACAATGTTCTTTTATTTTTATTTTATTTTATTTATTTTTTTGCCCATTCTGGGGCTTGAACTCCAGGCCTGAGCAGTGCCCCTGGGCCTCTCTGCACTCAAGGCTAGTGCTCTACCACTTGAACCACAGCGTCACTTCCAGCTTGTTCTGCGTAGTTTATTGGTGATAAGTCTCACAATGCCCTGAGGTCACCAGTGGCTCATGCCTGTAATTCTAGCTACTCAGGAGGCTGAGATCTGAGGATCGAGGTTGAAAGCCAGCCCATGCAGGAGACTCCATGAGACTCTTATCTCTAACAAACTAATCAAAAAAACCGGAAGTGGACGTGTGGCTCCACTTGAACAAAAGAAGCTCAGGGACAGCACCCAAACCCAGAGTTCAGCTCAAGCCCCAGGACCAGTTAAAAAAATAAAAATAAAAAAACTTCACAGGGACTTTTCTGCCTAGGTTGGTTTTAAACCATGATCCTCACCTCTCAGCCTCTTGAGTAGGCATTACAGGCAGGAGCCACTGGTGCCAGGCTAGTTCTTATTTTAATATTGAAAAGTTATCTTGGAATGACTGGGGCATGGCTTTCTGTATGCGCAGAAAGTGTGAGGCCCTGAATTCAAATAACTACATATAAATACAAATTGGTTTATCTTAAAAGCTAGATAGTTGGATTTTACACTTTTTAAAACCCAGTTTTGTCCTGACTTACATAACGGCAAACCCTCTGTATATCACCTTTATAATAACAATTTTTAAAAAGAAAAAAAACCACATTTTTGTGTGCAATGCAATTGAATACTCATTTGTACATGACAGGACCCTATATGATAAGTCTAAAAATAACTGGGAGGGGAAGGGAGAGTTGAAACACGAGAACCGAATGATAGATAGAAATGTTACTACTATTCAATGCTGCACATAGGACAAATCCAGCTACAGATAACAATGCACACGGAGAAAGGACTGTATTGCAATGGAAGTTGCATTACAAAGACAATGGGCTGGGAGGTAGCTCAGCAGCTAAGCACTTGCCTAGCTAGGGCAACGTCCTGGGTTCGTTCTCCAGTACCAAAAATATAGTTAAAAAAAAATCTAAACAAAGACAAGTGGTGAACTAGATTTGACCACAGGCCTTCGTTAGCTGATCCCTGTCCATACCTGCATCCACCTGCTAGAATTAGATCAGCCCAAGCGCAAACCAAAAAGGTCTGCCCTACCCACTGACCTTGTCATAATAATGAAAGGCTTCCAGCAAACTGTCAAAGTTTTGGTAATTAAATTTCTTCAGGTGATGTCGGATGGCTGCAATCATAGCTCGTTGTCTATCTTTCCCTCGAAGGCATTCTGCCAAAGGCCTATTATGGATAAGATCACCAGCTCCTATTGAAGAAACAAGAAAAGACAGTCTTTGCTTTTTTTTTTTTTCTTTTTTGGCAAGTTCTGGGTCTTGAACTCCAGGCCTCGGCACTATCACTGAGCTTTTCTTCGCTCAAAGCTAGTGCTCCACCACTTGAGCTACAGCTCCACTTCCAGATTTTGTTGGTCGTTAATTGGAGATATGAGTCTCATAGACTTTCCTGCCCTGGCTGGCTGGCTTTGAATCATGATCCTCACATCTCAGCCTCCTAAGTAGCTAGAATTACAGGTGTGCACCACTGGCGCATGGTTCATTTATTTCTATCTTTAAGGAGAAAAGTAAGGAGAGAGAGAAAGAGAGAGGGAAAGAGAGAGAGATCTTGCAACCTCAAGGAATGAAAAAAGCCTTCTATCTAACTATAATGCTATTATACATAATGTTTTTATGCACAAAATGTACATAAAATAAGTCTGTAGCCAATGTTCATACCTGTAACCCTAACTACTCAGGAGGCTCAGATCTAAAGATCTCAGTTCAAAGCCAGGCTGGGCAGAAAGGTCTATGAGACTTTTATCTCCAAAAAGCAGTTACAAGTCAGAAGTGGAGGAATGGGGCTGGGAAGGTGGCTTAGTGGTAGAATGCTTGCTTAGCATGTACAGAGCCTTGGGTTCAATTCCTCAGTAGAGAAAAAGCCAAAAGTGGCTTTCAAGTGGTAAGAGTGCTAGCCTTGAGCAAAAGAAGCTCAGAGACAGTGCCCAGGCCCTGAGTTCAAGCACCAGGACTGGCAAAAAAAAAAAAAAAGTGGAGGAATAGTTCAAGTAGTAGAGCTCCAGCCTGGAATGAAAATGGCAAAGGAGAGTACGCAGACCATGAGTTCAAGCCCCACTATTGGCAACAACACAAAAAGTACATGATATAATTGAAAAGAGCCCGGCGCTGGTGGCTCACGCCTGTAATCCTAGCTACTCAGGAGGCTAAGGTCTGAAGATTCATGGTTTAAAGCCATCCCAGGCAGAAGTCTGTGAGGCTCTTATCTCCAATTAACCACCAGAAAACCAGAAGCAGGGCTATGACTCAAAGTGGTAGAGTACTAGCCTTGAGCTAAAGAACTGAGGTATCCCGAGCAAGGCCCAGGCCCAGGCCCAGAGTTCAAGCCCTACAACCCACAATAATAACAGTAATAACAACACCAACAATAATAATAATAGAAAGAAAATGGTATTTCTATTCTCTGTTCAAGAGAAAAATGAAATAGCATAAGTTTTGTGGGACATCATCATCATCAGTCCTGTTCCGCTACCCTTTCTTTTCCTAAGTAGGACAATAGAGTCTTCGCTTGACTATCCACAACACTGAGGATCTGAAAGCTGGGACTGCTCCCAAGTAAGGGCTATTGAGCATGTCTGGAGTTGGCTGAACTTCTATGATCCTTTGTTTAAAAAATAAAAATCAAATTTTCTCTTCCCTCCTAGATTGCAGCTGGCGCTCCAGTTCCTATGTCTCAGACTGACTTCTTCCCATCCCACCCTTGTTACTGGAGCCTGACACGCCCCCCTTCCCCTAATCCTCCCAATCCCCCCAATCCTCCATCCACAGGTCCATTCTCCAAGAGTCTTAGCCCACATCCCCAACTAGAGTTGACCTCATTATTTCGTATATGGTGGCTTAATGGGTGTTACCAGAGAAGACTTTCTGCCTCTACTGATGTTCTCCTGGCCTACACACTTCCCCACTTCCTGCCCAACCACTTAGCTTTCCCGGAGCCAAGGTCATGCTGGCAGTTGGCTGGAATACTGGTTCCAGTTTAAGGCAACTAATTTTTACACCTACTCGGTGTAAGACTCTCTACCAAGGGTCTTTTTTGAATAGGCACCCATAGCTAGTGTAAGTTGTTTACCCATCATACAATCGGTAGCTAATTATGCTCATGGTTTTTCTGTGGAAAGCCCCTGAGGAGGGGTGAGAAGCACACTAGTAATGCAGGATTCAGAAACAGGACAAGAGCTGCAGACCTAAGCCCTCTGAATGGATCAGCAACCATCAGACCAGTCTAAAATTAGCAAGACCCAGAAAAGGCCTTGGGAGTGAAATTCAAAACAATAAGTAAGCCAGACACTCCTGTAACGCTAGCTACTCAGAAGGCTGAGATCTAAAGATCTGTGGTTGGAAGTCAGTCTAGATTGGGATGTCTCTTATCTTCAAGTAAGATTCTTATCTCCAATTAACCTCCAAAAAACTGAAAGTGGAGCTGTGGAGTATTAGCCTTGAGCAAAACATCCCAGGGACAGAGCTCAGGCCCTGAGTTCAAGCCCTAGAACTGGCACCTGTATGTGTGTGCATACATGTGCGCACGTGCACGCACGTACACACAAACACACACACACAGAATTAAGAAATCAGATATGGCAAGGGCTCTACAATAGCCCCACCCTAATTGGTATTTATTTTATTTTACTTTATTGGCCAGTCCTGGTGCTTGAACTCAGGGTCTGGGCACTGTCCCTGAGCTTCTTTTGCTCAAGGCTAACACTCTACCATTTAAGCCACAGTGCCACTGCAGTTTTTTTTTTTGTTTTTTTTTTTAATGTGGTACTGAGGAATCAAACTCAGGGCTTCATGCTAACTAAGCAAGCACTTTACCACTAAGCCACATTCCCAGCCCTTAATTGGTAAATTTTTAAATATTATTTTATATTTTAGCTATTTTGTGCTGGTACTGGGAGCTTGAACTCAAGGCCTCACACTTGGTGTTTTTGCTCAAGACTGGTGCACTAACCACTTGAGCCACACCTCTGCTTCCAGCTTTTTGCTTGAAGATAATAGTTTAAGTCGCTGGGCATTGGTGGCATGGCTGTAATCCTAGCTACTCAGAGGCTGAGATCTGAGAATCACAATTCAAAGCCACCTCACCAGGAAAGTTCATGAGACACATCTCCAGTTAACCACCAGAAAGCTGAAAGTGGCTCTGTGGCTCAAAGTGGTAGAGTACAAGCCTTGAGCAAAAGATCTTGGGGCCACCACTTAGGCCCTGAGTTCAAGCCTCATGGCTGACGATGTGGGGAGTGGGGGATGGGGAAGTCTAGGTCCTTTCTATCCAGGCTGTCTTCAAACTTCAGTTCTCAGATATCAGCCTCCTAAATAGGAATACAGGTTTTAAGGTGTAGCCTGAATTGATTTGTTTTGTTTGTGTTTTTCTTTTTGTGCTAGTCCTAGGGCTTGAACTCAGGGCCTAGGCACTGTCCTTAGCTTTTTCTCTCAAGGCTAGCTAGTGCTCTACCACTTGAGCCCTATCTTCGCTATCAGTTTTTTGGTGGTTAATTGAAGACTCTCCTCAGCCTAGGCAGGCTTTGAACATCAATCCTCAGATCTCGGCCTCCTGAGTAGCTAGGATTACAGGCCTGAGCCACTGGTGCCTGGCTCAAGATTCTGCATTTCTTTTTTTGAAAATATAATGTTTCTATTTATTTATTTATTTAGTGTTTATGTGATGCCAGGGAATTGAACCCAGGACCTCATGCATGCTAGGCAAGCACTCTACCACTAAGCTACATTCCCAGCCCAAAATTCTGCATTTCTAAGAAGTTCCCAGAGGCTCTCATATTGCCTGTCTATAAACTACACTTTGAGTAGCAAGGACCTACAGACAATATCTGAATTAATTAAAAATCTGCTTCATTTCACATTGTCTGTGTAATAAGGCTGTATTTATTTTCTAAATCAAGTTTAAGACTTAACTACACTTGAGATATTCATTACAAAGCCTTTAAACTGTACTTAGTTTCAACATAATGTGAAAACAAATCCCTCTGATAGTACATATTTTTTTATTAATGTAACTCTTTTACACCTTTAAAATCAGATTTTTGTTTTTCTGTTTTGGGTTTTTTGGGGTTTTTTTAGGGGGGGGGGTTGTATGGATTGTGGGGCTTGAACTCTGGGCCTGGGCACTGTGCCTCAGTCCTTCAGCTCAAGGCTAGCGCTCTACCACTTGAGCCACAGGACCACTTCTGGTTCTCTGGTGGTTTATTGGAGATAAGAGTCTCACCGACTTTCCTCCCCAGGCTGGTTTTGAGCCTTGATCCTCAGATCTCAGCCTCCTGAGTAGCCAGGATTACAGGCATGAGCTACTACTACCCTGCTAAAATCATAAATTAAAAGCCTGTGAGCTTGACTGAGTAACTTTATGGACTTCCTTCCTTCCTACCTACCTTTATTTATTTCCCAGGGCTTGAACTTAGGACCCGGGCACTGTCTCTGAGCGTTGGTGCTTAAGAATAGTGCTCTACTACTTGAGTCACAGCCCCACTTCCAGCTTTTTCTGGTTAATTGGAGGTAAGAGTCTCATGGACTTCCCTCCCAGGGCTGCCTCTAAATCATAATCCTCAGATCTCAGCCTCCTGAGAAGCTAGGATTACAGGCCTGAGTCTGAGTGCTGGCTTTGATGAAGTTTGTTGAAGGAGAGCTTCTGTTTTTACCATATATCTCAGGATGGAGGCAGCCTCCAAAGGTGTAGCCTGGGGGGATATTCATTGTATCTGCAACGCTATAGAAGAAAATGAATCCTTTAGTTAAAGCACCAAGCAAATGTCCTCTCTGGCATTTAAAGTATATTTCTCCACATCTTTTTAGCAACCTATGTTTCTCTCCTCTCCTCTCCCTCTTCTCCCCTTACTGCCCCACACCCTCCCACCCCCCAGCTTTTTTGCTCAATGCTAACACTCTAGCACTTGAGCCACAGATCTGCTTCTGGCTTTTTTGATGGTTAGTTCGAGAGTCCCACTGACTTTTCTGCTCAGGCTGTCTTTGAACCATAATCCTAATATCTCAGCCTCCTGAGTAGCTGGGTGACAAGCCTGAGCCACCAGCCCTCAGCCCTAAACTTTCTCTTATAAATAAACTGTAAGGATCAATCGTAAGATCTTCAAAGATCTTTTTTAGTCTAACCATCTACTTGCATTAACAACAGCTGGATATTGTATTAACAGCAGCTGCCTCTTACTAACCTACCCCCCTCAAAAAAAAATCAGAGCAAAATTACCAAAATATAAACAGAGACAGAGAAGCATTTAAAGCTGAATTATATTTCTGGCATTCTAGAAATAAGGCTTCATGCAAAATACTCCCTCCCACATCTCCAAATATCTGGTCCACCCTTAAGAGCTCTTTGCTCTCCTGGAATCCCAAAGGCTATAAACGTAAACAGAATTCCATTGATAACAGCAAAATATATCTACGGACATAGATATTTTTTACTTAATAGATATAAATATCTAATGGAACACAAACCAATATTCACCTTAAGAGTACTTTTTTAATTCCATGCAGAAACACTACCAATAATAAGTTAATCATTTACTTACGGATCTAAAACTCTTCCAAGTTTATGTTGAAACTTTTCATTGAAATCATCTACTCTCTTGGATACAATTTTACTTCCTTTTTTCCTACAAGATTTAAAAATTGTCAGCTATCTTGTCTGCAAAGTGTACAGTAATGTTAGCATCACCACACCTTCAGTGAACAGATTTAGTTTCAAAATAAATTCCATGGTTAAAAAAGGTTTTATGCATTTATTTTCCTGCTATTTATTCTCTATAATAAAAATATAGAGCTGGGAATGTGGTTTAGTGGTAGAGTGCTTGCCTAGCATACACGAAGCCCTGGATTCCATTCCTCATACAGAGAAAAAGCCGGAAGTGGTGCTGTAACCTTGAGCAAAATGATAGCTCTTTTGGACAACTACTTAAAGATAAATGTACATTTCAATCATATTGATGTGGTATTTTAAAGAAAACATGTATTTAAATCCTGGAGAAAACACAAGGAAACTTACATTTGTAGTTCATGGAGCCAATATAAACTTTTTGCCATGTTTTTCCCATTATTATAATGTGGTGTTGGGACTCCAAATAAGTTGGACTTTTGGAAACTTGATGTGTTATATTTCCGGTTCTTGGCTTCTCCTGGAAGGGAGGAGGAGGAATGACTCAAGACACAAATAACCTTATCTTGTAAGAAGCACATTACATTCTCATAGACATTGAGGACAAGCTGGGGACAAGGAACAAACTTGAAACAGTGCAGGGAATGATGCAGATCTAGCTAACGATGACAGAAGCAATTCCTCCAACGTGAGCCAGAGACGGGTGAGATATGACAGAATGTACAAGAATCTTTATGTTAATAAAGAAGGCTATCTGTAGGAAACCCCATAGACAGCACCAAAAACTAATAATAACTACCTAGCAGAAAAAATAAATTATGAAAACAATAACCATTTACAAAAATAACATTAGTCAATAAAACACTTAGGAGGGATGGGAAGTAACTCAGTGTTAGAGCGCTTGCCTAGCATGCATGAAGCCCTGGGTTCCATTCCTCAGTACCACATACACAGAAAAAGCCAGAAGTAGTGCTGTAACTCAAATGCCAGCCTTGAGTGCTAGCCTTGAGCAAAAGAAGCTCAGGGACAGTTCCCAGGCCTGAGTCCAAGCCCCAGGATGGGAAAGAAAGAAAAGAATGGAAGAGAGAGAGAGAGAGAGAGAGAGAGAAACCAAAGGAACAAAGAAAGAAAGAAATTAGCTAAGTGACAGTGCCAAGGCCCTGAGTTCAAGCCCCAGAAGTAGGGGAAAAAAAGTGTTGGGTGGGCATTGGTGGCTCAAACCTGTAACCTTAGCTACTCAGGAGGCTGAGATCTGAGGATCACTGTTCAGAGCCAGCCTGGGCAGGAAAGTCTGTGAGACTCTTATCTCCAATTAACCACCAGAAAACCAGAAGCGGGACTGTGACTCAAAGTGGTAGAGCGCTAGCCTTGAGCTGAAGAGCTGAGGGACAGCGCCCAGGCCCAGAGTTCAAGCCTCAAGACCGACAAAAAGAAAAGAAAAAGAGAAAAAAAAAAGAGGGAGAAAAGAAAACAGAAATAAGCAAGGAAAGGGGAGACATTGTCCCAAAAGAAATATACTCTTTACCTGACTTATGTAACTGTAACCCCTTTGTACATCACCTTTATATTAACAATAAAAATATTTTAAGATAAAAATTGCAAAAAAAAATGAGCAGAACAACTTTTTAAAATTTGTTATTGTTGTTATAAAGATGATGTACAGAGGGTTTACAGTTACACAAATCAGGTAAAAATAAATTTCTCTTCAGACAGTGTCACCCCTTCCCTCTCACATCTTTTCTCTCCAATCCCACTCACAGGTTGTATAGTTCATTTTCAAGTTAGTGTCTGGTGAGGACCACTGGCGCATTTGCTCACCCCTTATACCTCCATTTCTGTACCTCCCCATACCCTCTCAAAGACATATAGGCAAACAAACTAGACAAAAAGAAAACAAAAATAGCAAAAGAGAAAAAAAGCCTCCTCCTTCCATCTTCTGGAGTTTATTTTGATAAATATAATTTTGTATGATCAAATGCATCTAGGCTTTGTGCCTTCATGTAATGGAACAACTTGGTTTTTGTTTTTTTTTTTTTGCCAGTACTGGGGCTTGAACTCAGGACCTGGGCACTGTCCCTGAGCTTTTTTTGTTCAAGGCTAGTGCTCTACCACTTTGAGCCACAGCACCACTTCCAGCTTTTTCTGTTTGTATGGTACTGAGCAATCTAACGCAGGGCTTCATGCATGCTTAGCAAGCACTCTACCACTAAGCTCATTCCCAGCCCAGTGTTTTCTTTAAATATCTAATATTGTAGCTTTCTTTTTTTTCAAGTCCTGAATTAATGTTTTCAATTGCAAAATAAGAAAGTATGGGGCTGGGAAGGTGGCTCAGTGGAAGAGTGCTTGCCTTGCGCGCATGAGGTCCTGGTTCAATTTCTCAGTACCACATAAGCAGGACAGGCCAGAAATGGTGCTGTGGCTCAAGTGGTGGAGCGCTAGCCATGAGCAGAAGAGTTGAGAGACAGGCCCAGAGTTCAGACCCCACTACCGACAAAAAAAAGAAAGTATGAGTGAAGCTAGAAAACAACTAAGATGGTAAGAAATGAAGGACACTGAGCATCTCTGAATAGGTCCGTTTCACATAAAAACAGCAATAAGAAATCAAAAACTGTGTCCCAGTTAAGCAAAAATGAAGATCAGCTAAGATCACTCAGGGCTGCCTGGGGGCGGGGGGGAGAGGGGGGAAGGGGGGAATGGAGATTCTCATAGGTTGCTGAGTCTGAGAGCAAAGTGAAGCAGTTAGTTATTCAGGAAAATAATTTGTCTCAGTGAAAATTTTCAAATGTTTAGAAATCTAGCAATATATTCCAAGTTCATAGCAGAGCACATTCAAAAGTGTATTTAACAGTGCATTTTTGTAATAGTGAAAAGTATGATACAATACCAACAAGAATAAACTGCCAAAAATATTTCATAAGACAAAAAGCAACAAGTGGAAGAAAAAAGAATACATGTGTATATGCATTTATGTGTGCCTGCATGTGTATACATACATATCCTATATATACAATATATTATATAAATAACAAATATAATATATACATATATATGTATATCTTAAATACATATATAAAGGCTGGGGATATAGCCAATGATAGAGCACTTGCCTACAATTCCAAGGTTCTGAGTTCAATCCCCAGCATAGGAAAAAAAACAAAACAACAACAACAACAACAAAACCCACAAAGTTCATACATTATTGGGCACTGGTGACTCATGACTTAATTCAAGCTACTCAAGAGGCTGAAATCTGAGGATCCTGGTTCAAAACCAGCCCAGGCAGGAAAGTCTATTGCTACTTTTTTCTCCAATTAACCAGCAAAAAGCCAAAACTGAAGCTATGGCTCAAGGGGAAGAGAGCACAGGACCTATAATCCCAACACTGGAGGAACCCCATTTTGACTTTACATAAATCAAACATTTTTACAAACAATGAGGGAGGGAAGGATGATGGAAAGAAAGAAGGGAGGAGCCTTACAGAAGCAGAGGACAGAGATACGGGAAGAAGTCAAGGCAGGAGAAGGAATATGGTGTCCATGTGGGGAGAAACAGCGCCAGCCTGAATGGGACAGAGAGACTATCTCAGGACCGGGAACACATTAAGGAGTGCATGGAACCAGAAGAGACTAGCTTTGAAAGGGATCGTGGGCAGACTCCAGATGGGGCTTTCTTGTGACATGTGTCAGGGTCTAACCATCAATTCCCTTTACATTAATAGTATGTAGCAAAAACATATTACCAAGTAATTTGCATGTTATAGCACTACAAATCTAATCCATGCCTATATAATCTAGTAATATGACAGATTAGGTTAGGTGCGAACGCTTGATAAGAATAATTAATAACTGTGAGCCAGGCACAGTGGCTCAGGCCTGTAATCCTAGCTACTCAGGAGGCTGAAATATGAGGATCACAGTCCAAAGCCAGCCTGAACAGTAAAGGCTGTGACACTTTTACTTCTATTTAAATATCAAAAAGCCAGAAGTGGAGCTGTGGCTCAAGTGATAGAGTCTTGAGCACAAACATTCTGGGACAGTGTCCAGGCCCTGAGTTAAAGCCCCAGGACTAGCAAATAAATAAACAAACAAGCAAATAAATATTCATGAACATTTTCCATTTTTCAGGCACTTAGGCATTTAACATGTCACTTAATTCTCTATTGTTATAAGAAGAGATGATGATCGGGTTTTAAAAAGGGCTCAATTTCTAAAAAAAAAAACAGTAAATAGATGAGCTAATATTTGAACCTAGCCAATCTGATTAAAAACTTAGTACTAAAATGAAGACAGCTGGGCGCTGGTGGCTTACTCCTGGAATCTTAGCTACTCAGGAGGCCGAGAACTGAGGATCGTGGCTCAAACCCAGCCTGAGCAGGAAAGTCTCTGAGACTCTTATTTCCAATTAACCACCAGAAAACCAAAAGTGGCACTATGGTTCAGGTGGTAGAGCCCTTGCCTTGAGCTGAAGAGCTGAGGAACAGCACCCAGGCCCAGAGTTCAAGCCCCATGACTGACCAAAAACAAAAAAAAAAAAGAAGAAGAAGAAGAAGCAGCACTTAAAGTGAGTCTGACTTTTTTTCAGCCTCTTTTTTTTTTTCAACAAGTCTGACTTTTAGCTCAGTGTGGTGGTACAAACCTGTGGTCCGCACACCTAAAGAGTCACAGGCAGGAGTTCAAGACCAGACTGAGCAACATAGAAAGACCTTGTTTCAACAAAATAGTAATGAAAGAGTAAGCCTGATATTTGAATAAGAGCCATAATTTTGCAACCAAAAAAATCACTAAAGAAAAAAAAAATACCAGGGGCTGGGAATGTGGCTTAGTGGTAGAGTGCTTGCCTAGCATGCATGAAGCCCTGGATTCAATTCTTCAATACCACATACACAAAAAGGGCCAGAAGGGGTGCTGTGGCTCAAGTGATAGAGTGCTAGCAAAAGAAGCTCAGGACAGTTCCCAGATCCTGAGTTCAAGCCCCAGGACTGGCAAAAAAAAAAACAAAAAACATAAACTTTGTCCTTCTTAACTGCTTTTTCATTTTATTACATATATTTCTATGCAAAATACACCTGTGTTCCAGCTACCAGCAAATATATCATAAAAATAATTTATTACAAATAATAATTTTCCATTTGTTATTATTATGGTAATAATAAATTACAATGCACTGATCACTTTTTTTTTTGTCAGTCCTGGGGCTTGAACTCAGGACCTAGACACTGTCCCTGAGCTTTTTTACTCCAGACTAGCATTCTACCACTCAAGCCACAGCACCACTTCCGGCTTTTTCTGTGTATGTGGTACTGAGGAATGGAACCCAGGGCTTCATGCGTGTTAGGCGAGCACTCTACCACTAAGCCACCTTCCCAGCCCATTCACTGATCACTTTAATTTTGTATACCTCATGTCCTTCCTCCTCTTCACAAACCTCAGGGTTCCATATCTTTAGGCCCATTTTGCATTGGAAGAGACTTACCGGCATAATAATCATTGTGAGTCACAACATACAAATCATGTCCCTCATTTCCTTCTTTAAGCACTTCTTCATGGGATTTGGGTGGGTTCACTACTTCTCTAGCAGAGAAATCTGAAGGAAGAATCAAAGAAATCAGTTTTAAGATTTTCTTTCATCTACTTCTAATGTACTTAAATTGACTAGGACAAACGACACACAAGGCATACAGATTTCATTAGCCTGCATGAATAAAGATTTATCAGAGTAGAAGGATGTAGCCAAGGAAAGGAACAGAGGGAAGAAAACTAAGACCTAAATTCATTTTTATTTTTTTTTTTGGGTCCGGTCGTGGGGTCTGAACTCTGGGCCTGGGCGCTGTCCCTCAGCTCTTCAGCTCAAGGCTAGCGCTCTACCACTTAAGCCACAGCGCTACTTCCGGCTTTTTTCTTTTTGCTTATGTGGTGCTGAGGAATCGAACCCAGGGCCTCAGGCATGCAAGGCAAGCGCTCTACCACTGAGCCACCTTCCCAGCCCCCTAAGACCTAAATTCTAAGTAAGAAAAAGAGAAAAAAATTAAAAAAGGAAAAGAGAAAAAAAGTATATAAAATAAAAATTAGAACAATTATATATGTATGAAGTAATAATACTAAAATTAAAAAATACTAAGATTGTGCAGTAGAGACCTGGGTAATCAATTTATACTCTGAATTAAGTATATACACAGTTAAGGAGAAAGCCTAGTGATCACCGTAGGCTGTGTATCCAGTTGTGAACAGAACAGCAATGAAGAAGAAAAAAATCAATCAGGGTTGTAGAAAAAAGACAAAACAAGAAAACAAAAATAAAAACAAAAACACAAAAAAAAACTGACAGAGAAAAAGGTAACAGAGAATAAAAATAGTTGCAAAAATAAAAAAAGAAGAGAAAAAGGAGCCAAAGAATTTTTTTAATATAAAAATTATAATTGGAGGAAAAAGGAAAATAGAAAGGAACTTCTATTTATTTAAGGGGATCTTATGTCTCCCCTATGTCCACTTTCCAGTCCCCCCAAGGGGGAAAAAAGATTTATCAATACAAAACATAGTTTTAAGTGTTACTTTGCTAGAAAGTTCTCCTTGACCTCACTCACTCCCAAAGTTTCTGAAGAAATTAGAATTCTGACCTGGCATCAGTGGCCATGTCTGTAATCCTAGCTACTCAGCAGACGGAGATCTAAGGGTCATAGTTCAAAGCCAGCCTGGGCAGGAAAGTCTTACCTCCAATTATCTGTCAAGGACTGGGAATGTGTCTTAGTGGTAGGGTGCTTGCCTAGCATTGCCCTGGGTTCAATTTCTTAGTACCACATAAATAGAAAAAGCCAGAAGTGGCGCTGTGGCTCAAGTGGTAGAGTGCTATCCTTGAGCAAAAGAAGCACAGTGCCCTGAATTCAAGCCCCAGGACTGGCAAAAACAAAACAAAAAATAAAAAACAAATAAACAAAAAAAGAAACAAAACAACCTCCAAAAAGCCTGAAGTGAGGATGTGACTGAAATGAAGCTAAGGGACTGTACACAGGCTTTGAATTCAACCCCCAGGACAGCCACAAATAATAATAATAACAATAATAACAGAACTTTGTTAATAGTTAACCATTAAAGCTTCCCTGAGCCAAGTTCTAAGCCTAGTTAAATTGCCAGTACTAAGCCTTCTAGGCAATTTGGGTTATTAGTTTCCAACCTTTCAGGATGATCCAAGGACATCTGAATTACAATTTAGAACCCTTGGTAGTCTATGAAGTATGCTATGTTATAATTTTACCAGCTGTAAAAATTATATATGAGCCTTTAAGCCCCACGACCAACAACAACAAAAAAAAAATTGCTGGGCACCATTGGCTCACGCCTGTAATCCTAGCTACTCAGGAGGCTGAGATCTGAGGATCGTGGTTCAAAGCCAGGCTGGGCAGAAAAGTCCGTGAGACTCTTATTTACAATTAACTACTAGAAAACCAGAAGTGATGCTGTAGCTCAAGTCGTAGAGGTGCTAGCCTTGAGCTGAAGAGCTCAGGGACAGGGTCCAGGCCCAGACTTCAAGCCCCATGACCCCCCCCCAAAAAAAAATTTATATGTGAGCCACATGCCTTGAGCTTGTTTTGATCTGAATCCGTCCTCAAAATAGTCAGAAGAGGGGGCTGGGAAGGTGGCTCAGTGGTAGAGCGCTTGCCTTGCATGCCAGAGGCCCTGAGTTCGATTCCTCTGCACCACATAAGCAAAAAGAAAAAAGCTGGAAGTGGTGCTGTGGCTCAAGTGGTAGAGCGCTAGCCTTGAGCTGAAGAGCTGAGGGACAGCGCCCAGGCCCAGAGTTCAGGCCCACGACTGGAACCAAAAAAAAAAAAAAATAGAAGAAAAAAACCCTAGAATCAGAATTCTTTCTGCTACTGGCTCCAAACCTAAATGCTTGTTGAATAGGTGCTTCCTCACTACTGGTGGTCCTCAGTTTTGTGTATAATGCATTATCTTGTTTTTATTGGTTTACCTAATTTCTTTGTTTTTTGTTGGCCCTGCAGCTTGAACTCAGGGCCGTAAGCTCTTGCTTGGCTTTTTTGCTCAAACTTAGTGCTCTACCACTTGAGCCACACCTCCACTTCCAGCTTTTTTGCTGGTTAATTTGAGAAAAGACAAATCTCCATCCTCAGGTCTGTCTAAGAGATTATAGACATGAGCTACCAGTGTTCTACATTAAGTACTATTTTTTAAACATAGCTTCCTTTACTATTTCATTATCTTTTTTTTTCCAGTCCTAGGACTTAAACTCAGGGCCTGGGCATTATTTTTGAGCTTCTTTTGCTCAAAGTTAGCACTCTACTACATGAGCCATAGCACCACTTCCAGTTTTTTTTCTGTTTATGTGGTACTGAGGAATCGAACCTAGGGCTTCATGCATGCTAGGCAAGCACTCTACCACTAAGCCACATTCTCAGCCCTTCATTTTTCTTTTTCAACATAACAATATAGATCAAGAAATTCCCTTTCTTGTGGGTTAGTATGCAAGTATGCATCATGAATCTGAAGGTTGATATGCAGCATTTGCAAACTTGTTTGTCTCATGACTCATAAAAAGATAAGAGTCATGAACACATCAGAGGCATTGAAGGAAATAAACACACCCATGATTATCCAGAAGGAAGACTGCAGATGTCACAGCTTTTCTGCCAACTTTTCTGCCTCTTTCCTATTATTACATCATGTCTTCAACCCACACCTTCATTCTAAAACCTGTATTTTTACTGTCTTCATACCCATAACAGAAAGGATTTGGGTTCAGAAGGTAGCCTATTCATTACGATTCCATTGTCCATTCTTGAATAATTATTTATCCCATCCCCAAATATATTCAATTTCCCATGAGGACTTCTTTACAACCTCTTCTCATTCCTTATTTATTTTTTACTACCTTTGATGACTGCTGTCCCAAATGTTGTATTGAGTATATCCAGTCCTTTAGGTAATCCTGGTGTTTGATCTTGAGATCTTCCTAATGGTGCTCGTTGATTGCTAAGATACAGGGATTCTTTTTTATCTTTAATTAGCTGTTGAAATCTGCTGATGGGCTGTGGGTTTATCAATGTGCGTGCCTAAAGAAATCACACAAGGGGGACCAGGAAAGAGAGGTCAATTCAGGTTAATCTGAGTAAACTATAATATACACACGTGTGAATTACCATGTTGAACCTTTTGCATAATTAATATATACTGAAAAAATAATGAAGGATAATAAAGAGTGTGTGGAAGGGTACCAGCAAAAGGCAGGAGGGTTAACAGAGAAGTGGATTAATAGAGAAGTTAGCAAATACTTTGCATGAATATGTGGAAAAAGAAGAACAAAAAACACTGGGAGCCTTTGGGTCACATCTGTAATTCAAGTTACGTCGAAGGCTGAGATCTGAGGATCCTGGTTGAAAGCCAGCCTACGCAGACAAATTCATGAGATTCATATCTCTAATTGTCCAGCAAAATGTTAGAAGTGAAGATGTGGCTCAACTGGTACCCACCTTGTGACAGCCTTGAGTGAAAAAAGCTAAAGCAAGAATATGAAGCCCCGAGTTCAACCGAGTTCAAGCACAATGCTGTTTTGTTGTTGTTGTTATTGTTGTTGTTGTTGTTGTTGTTTTTGCCAGTCCTGTGGCTTGAATTGAGGGCCTAGGCGCTGTCCCTGAGCTTTTTTTGCTCAAGGCTAGCACTCTACCACTTAAGCCACAGCCCTTCATCCAGCTTTTTCTGTGTATGTGGTACTGAGGAATTGAACCCAGGGCTTCATGCAGGCTAGGCAAGCACTCTACCATTAAGCCACATTCCCAGCTCTCTTCCTTTCTTTTTAAATTTTATTTTATTAAAAATATTGTGCTTGGCAGTTGAATTTTACTCATCCATTAGAATGATATTCTATCAATTGCAAAGAAAGGGAAGGAACTGGGGAAAAATTATGCTAAGTGAACTAAGAGAAGAAAGTCAAGCCCAGGAAGTTAGACATAATCTATAACGATACAACATACACACTTGGGTGGATTTCAAGTATACAATAGATATGGACTGAAATTTGGTTGACTTGGGGAGGAATTCAAATGATGTAATTCCTTAGAAAAGCTAACTCACATTCCAATAAAATAAACACAAGGAACCAGGTACTCAGAGGTAGGGCTGGGATCAAGATGGGGAGAAATAGATAAATGAAGCAATAAAGTGGGAGAAAATGCAGTTATATGACTTAAGCATATTCTACCAAATGAAGAAACTTGAGGAAAAGGTGGGATTGAGAGGGTTGGGGAAATTATGAAAGAGATGACAATGATCAAAATCCATTGTACTCATGCACTAATGTATTGAATGTCAGCTCCTGTGTACAAGTTGAAATAAATATAAAATTTAAAAAAAATATTGTGCTTGGGGCTAGGAATGTTGCTTAGTGGCAGAGTGCTTGGCTAATATGCATAAAGCCCTGGGTTCGATTCCTCAGTACCAGAGGAACAGAAAATGCTGGAAGTGAGGCTATGGCTCAAGTGGTAGAGTGCTAGCCTCAGCACATAGAGGCTCAGGGACAGTGCCCAGGCCCTGAGATCAAGCCCCAAGATTGGGAAGAAGAAGGAGGAGGAGGAGGAGGAGGAGGAGAAAATGAAGGAAGAAAAAGAAGGAAGGAAGGAAAAAAGGAGGAAGGAAGGGGAAAAGGAAGAAAGAAAAAAGACTGGGAAGGAGGGAGAGGAAAGAAAGGAAGAAAACAAACATCTGTTGAAGTTGTTTTAGGATGGGGGAATGAATGAGAGAAACAGAGGGGAAGGGAAATGGATCAGAGTACATTGTATGTATTATGGAAATGTCACAGTAAAAATTCCCCTTCCTACAACTAATATATGCTAATAAAATTTTTATAAAATGCCAGGCACCAGTGGCTCATAACTGTAATCCTAGCTGCTCAAAAGGCTGAGGTCTAAGGATTCAGGTTCAAAGGTAGCCCAGGTAGGAAAGTCCTTGAGATTATGCTCTCCAATTAACTAGCAAAAATGTAAAAAGTGGTGCTGTAGCTCAAAGTGGTAAAGCGCTAGCCTTGAGAAAAAAAGCTCTGAGACAGTACCTAGGCCCTGAGTTCAAGCCCCATAATAGACAAAAATTAAAAATAAATAAATAAATAAAGGATTAAAAGAAAAAATTAAGTCATAGAGCTGGGTGCAAATGACTCTCCTGTAGTCCTCATTACTCAGAAGGCTGATTTGAGGATCACAGTTTGAAAACAGCCCACGTAGGAAAGTCTAGGAGATTATCTCCAATTAACTACACACACACACACACACACACACACACACACACACAAAAGCTGGAAATGGAACTGTGGCTCAAATGGTAGAGTGCTAGCCTTAAGTACAAAAGCTCAGGGATCCAGAATCCAAGCCCCAGAACTGGCAAAAAAAAAGAGCAGGTGCCAGCGGTTCATCCTCAGTATTCAGGAAGCTAAGAGCTAATGATCGTGGTTCAAAGCCAGCTCCAGCAGGAAAGTCCATGAGGCTCTCATCTCCAATTAACCACCAGAAAATCAGAAGTGGCACCGTGACTCAAGTGGTAGAGCATTCGCCTTGAGCTAAAGAGCTCAGGGACAGTGCCCAGGCCCAGAGTTCAAGCCCCATGACCAAAAGAAAAGAAAAAAAAAAAGAAAGAAAAGAAAAAAAAAAAAGAAAGTCACAAAGTGCACAGATGTATCAGACTAACAAACAAACAAAAATAGCATAAATCTGAAAACTAAAGCCCTAGGAAAACCTAGTAAAAGGAGCATGTATGATTACAGAAAAATATTTCACCGTCATTGGCTTAGCTCATCTTCAAATGAACAATTGGTACTACAAAGCATGCTTCAACAAGAACTTGCAAAGCCGAGGGTCTGGTTGCTCACACCTGTAATCCTAACTACTAAGGAGGCTGAGATCTGGGAATCTCAATTTGAAGTCAGCCCAGGCAGAAAAGTCAGTGAGATTCTTTATCTTTAATCAACCAGCAACAATAAGCATGAAGTAGTCGAGTCATTCATGAAATGGAGCACCAGCCTTCGTTGAGTGGAAAAAGACAAGCAAGAATGTGAAATACCGAATTCAATCCTCAGTACTTAAACAATGGCAACAAAGCTTCAATAGAATTAAACAGCTTATAAAGACAGTTTCCAAGGTATGTGACCAAAATAGGTCACTAGACGTGGGAATGAAAAGTACAAGAACCAATTTCTACAAGTTCTCTTCAAAGTGGATAGACCAAATCTTCTGAATCTAAGACTATCCATTCAATCAACCGGTGGTAACATTCTGACTCAGACTACACTCACAGCGCCTGTCAGAACCTCCAGAAGACAAGAAGTGGTTTTCAAGACTGTCTATTCTGCTGGGTGCCAGTGGCTCACGCCTGTAATCCTAGCTACTCAGGAGGCTGAGATCTGAAGATCACAGTTCAGAGCCAGCCCAGGCAGGAAAGTCCGTGAGACTCTTATCTCCAATAAACCACTAGAAAACCAGAAGTGGTGCTGTGGCTCAAGTGGTAGAGCGCTCGCCTTGAGCTGAAGAGCGCAGGGATAGCACCCAAGCCCAGGGTTCAAGCCCCACGACCGACAAAAGAAAAAAAAAAGACTGTCTATTCCCTGCAAAGCCTGCCAGCCTTTCTATTTAACATTAATTAATAGACTGCAACTGGCCTTTCATCATCTAAAGGGACAATTGCTTGTGGTGTGACCATTTGTCTACACTCTCTTGCCTGCTGCTTGGATTTTTTTTCACTGTCTAACATTAGTGTTTTAGAGGACAGGTTGAAGAAGTTAGAAAGGAGATCAGCATTGATAAATTTCATTGACTTTATTGATACATTTTCACCATGGTCAATTACTAATGTAGAGGGTGAGGAATTACCGATATTGAACTTTTAGAACTTATCCCATGGGTCAAATATGGTGCAACTTGGGGATCATTTGCTCTGCCATAGAATATTCTTTCTTCTCCAGGAGGTGGATATCTGAAGTTGAAGTACTTTTTTGCCTCAGGTGGAGTAATCAGCTACAAAGAAGCAGACAAGAAAATAAAACTAAGTACAAGTTTTAAAATGTTAGCCGAACTTTTCCAATCAATAACACTCTTCCTTTCATACGTTCAGTAAGGGAATGGGGGTACTAACAATAGCCTCAAATAATGTGTTTACTTATGGAAATAATATATATTGAAAAGCTATACTAAGAAAGTAGCTAGTAAGTACCCAGGTTAGAAATCATTACTAATAGCCAGGTACAGATGGAACATGCCTGTAATCCTTGCTGCTCAGGAGGCTGAGATCTGAGGATCAAAGTGCAAAACCAGCTGAAGTAGAAAAGTTGGGAAATTGTTATCTCTGGTTAACCCCAAAAAAGTTAGAATTGGAGCAGTGGCTCAAGCGGGAGAGTGCCAACATTGAGTGGAAAAGGCTACGGGACAGGAGCGAGGGAGGGAGGGAACGAGGGAGGGAGGGGAGGAAAGGAAGGAACTATTACTAATAACAGTAATACATATTATGATCTTTACCAATATTAAATACCTAGAAGGTTTTGTAGCACTAAAATTGTAAACTGAGAATATTCACTTTCTTGGACAAAATTAATAGAAGACCTCATTGTACATTAAAATTATAAATCCACTCTCCTAAGAAACATAGAATTGTCTGTCTCCTAATGTTCAAGATAAAAATAGAGTTCAAGATAAAAATAATGTTCAAGATAAAAATAAAGCCAGGCTCCTGTGGCTCACACCTGTCTAATTCTGGCTACTCTGAGATCTGAGGATCAAGGTCCAGCCCAGGCAGGAAAGTCCATGAGATTTGTCTCCAATTAACCACATACAAAAAAATTATATACAGGGCTGGGAAGGTGGCTCAGTGGTAGAGCGCTTGCCTTGCATGCAGGAGGCCCTGTGTTCAATTCCTCAGCACCACATAAGCAAAAAAGAAAAAAGCTGGAATTGGCACTGTGGCTCAAGTGGTAGAACGCTAGCCTTGAGTTGAAGAGCTGAGGGACAGCACCCAGGCCCAGATTTTAAGCCCCACGACTGGACCCCCCCCCCCCCCCCCGCAGTGGAACTGTGGCTCAAGTGAAAGAACACTACTCTTGAGCAAAAAAAAACTCAGGAACAGCATCCAGGCCCTGAATTCAAGCCCCAGAACTAACACATATACACACAAACACACACACACACCACCACCAACAACAACAACACCAACAACAACATATAAAGATATTGGAAGTGCTTACCCTAGGAAGTTTTTCAGTCAGACAAGTTGCAACTCTGTATCCAACTGGTTTAACTTTTCCTGCCTAAAGGGAAAAAAAAGTAACTTGATTATAGTCAGAATAAAAAACGAAAATTTGATCTGTGCCTTTGATGCTACAAAGTTCCTTGACTGCTACTACTACTGCTGCTATTACTACTACTAATAATATTAAATGTTATGGGGCTGGGAATGTGGCTTAGTGGTAGAGTGCTTGCCTTGCATGCATAAAGCCCTGGGTTCCATTCCTTAGTAGCACATAAGCAGAAAAAGCCAGAAGTGGCTCTGTGGCTGAAGTGGTAGAGTGCTATTCTTGATCAAGAAAGATGCTTAGGGACAGTGCCCAGGCCCTGTATTCAAGCCCCAGGACGGAAGTTAGGAAGGAAGGAAGGAAGGAAGGAAGGGAGGGAGGGAGGGAGGGAGGGAGGGAGGGAGGGAGGGAGGGAAGGAAGAAAGAAAGAAAGAAAGAAAGAAAGAAAGAAAAAGGGAATGGTTCAAATAGAAGAGTGCCTACCTAGCAAGCATGAAGCCTTGAGTTCAAACCCAGTACCACAAATTAATCAGATGTCACATATATTCTAATATAATTGTAAATATACTTAATTATAGTCTAGCACTATCAGTGTTTCATCCGATTGCAGAACACCTGTAATTTTTGAAGTTTTAGCAAGGATTTATTTTAGTATAACAGGAAAAATGTACAGAGAAAGAAAAAAAGCAAGAGAGAGGAACATTTCCTATTCCCCATGCAAGAAATCAGAGTTACAAAATGGTGGACTGAAGTCATGGATCAAGTGGTAGAATCTAAGTCATGATCAAAAAAGTAGAGTTAGTGTGAGGCCCTGAGTTCAAGTCCTAGTACTTGTGCATATGTACACGAATACACACACACACACACACACACACACACACACACACAAGAATAAAGACAAAATGGTAGTTCTCAAAAATAACCTTTGTACTTTCTCAGCTCTAAGAGTGCACCCTAATCCCTAGACAGTGATTTAGCATGGGCAAGCCCACCCAAGACATAGTATCAATAGTGATTTTAGAACTTAACTTTGCCAGACAAGCCTTTTAATTCCTGTCATTTTATCCATAGTAAAGAGTTACTGCTGTGTTTAACTCCCATTTCCAGGGTGTGGAGCAGAAAAATGTTTCTCTCTCTTCTCTATTTCTCCCTCCTTCAACCCTATTACACAAAAATAAATCCAAATTAAAAATTTTTAAATGCAAGGTGCCTATGTCTCATACCTGTAACCCTAGCATCTCAGAAGACTGACATATGAGGATTAAGATTCAAAGCCAGCCCAGGCAGGGAAGTTCTTGAGACTCTGCTCTCCCGTTAACTAGCAAAAATGTCAAAAGTGGAGCTTCGGCTCAAGTGGTAGAGCCCTAACCTTGAGCAAAATGGCTCAAAGACTGGTTTCCAGTTTTTGCTTACTAGTTTTAATGTCTAGGCCTAGCGCTCTCAATATTTATTAATTTTAAATTTCCTGTCTCCTCATCTATTCTGCTCATTTCTTCTATGAACAGCTTTGATCTCTTTAGTCTTACTGGCTTTATCAAAGAGAAGTCATTTTCCTATCTTATTTAGAAGGTAAAAATTTAATTGGCAAAAAGATCAGTTGGCAGGTTGCCATAGTAAGGATGTGAAGACATGAAGATACTGTTTGGGAATCTTCCTTTAAGTTGAATTTTGTCTTTTCTGTAGATGATGTCCTGGCATCTTGAAAGAATGTTGTTTGGATGGAGCACCAGGGGCTTGGATCTGTAATTCTAACTACTCAAGATGCTGAGATCTGAAGATCACAGATCAAAGCCAGCCCTGGCAGGAAAGTTGTGAGACTATTATCTCTAATTAATCACCCAAAAAGCCAGAACTAGAGCTTTGGCTCAGGTGGTAGAGTTCTAGTGTTGAGCAGCAAAGCTCAAGGACAGCATCCAGCCCCTGAGTTCAGGCCCCAGTACTGGCATGTGTGCACACATGTATACATCCGTGCACATGTACACATACACACACAGATAGAACGCTCTTGGGGTTATTAGAAGTTGGACTTTAGACACTTTTCATGAGTTGGATTGTAAATTCCATCCAAACTTCTGCGATTCACCTTTTGACTGGCTCGCCAATCTGTCACCAGCTAAGGGGGTGAGTGGGTTCCCTCATTTTAAATATCACAGGTTTCCATTAAAAATCACAGGTCCTAATGGAATAGAATTGAAAGCCCAGAAATGAACCTGAAGACCTATAGCCATCTAATCTTTGATAAGGGAGCTAAAAAATAGAATGAAAGAAAGACAGTCTCTTCAGTAAATGGTGCTAGCAAAATTGGTTAACTACTTGTAGAAAACTAAAACTAGATCCTTATATATCACCCTGCACCAGAATCAACTCCAAATGGATCAAAGACCTCAGAGTGAAAGCGGACACTCTGAAAACATTATAGGATGGAATAGAAGAAACTCTAGGTCTCCTTGGCACAGGCCCAAATTTTCTTCATAGAGACCCAGAAACACAAAAGAAAGGTTGGACAAATAGGATTGCATGAAATTGCAGAGCTTCTGCTGGCAAAGAACATAGCTAGCAAGATCAATAGAAAGCCCACGGATTGGGAGAAGATCTTCATTAGCCATACAATATCTAAAATATACCTGGAACTCAAAAAATTAAATCCCCCAACAACAAATTTTCAAAGAAACAACTACCCAATAAATAAGTGGGCTAAAACTTAAAGATAAACTTTTCTGAAGAGGAAAGAAGGCTGGCCAATAGACACATGAAGAAATGCTCAACCTCTCTAGCCATAAAAGAAATGCAAATCAAAACAACATTGAGATACCACCTCACCCCAGTTAGAATGACTATAATCAAGAACTCTAATAACAACAGATGCTGGAGGGGATTTGGACAGAAGGGAACCTTACTACATTGTTCCTGGGAGTGTGAACTTGTTCAACCACTTTGGAAAACAGTATGGAGTTTCCTCAAAAGACTCCACATAGGGGCTGGGAAGGTGGCTCAGTGCTAGAGCGCTTGCTTTGCATGCCTGAGGTCCTGGGTTCGATTCCTCAGCACCACATAAGCAAAAAGAAAAAAGCCGGAAGTGGCGCTGTGGCTCAAGTGGTAGAGCGCTAGCCTTGAGCTGAAGAGCTGAGGGACAGCGCCCAGGCCCAGAGTTCAGGCCCCACGACCAGACCCAAAAAAAAAAAAAAAAAGAAAATGGAAAGGCTTGGAAAAAAATATATTAAGTGAAGTAAGCCAGGCCCAAAGAAACATAGGTCCCATGGTTTCCCTTATTTGCAATAACTAGTATATGTCTGAGTCAAGCAGAAAAGGTCAGATAAGGTGATGTTAGGGAAATGAACCCTGAGATAAGTATTCAAATGTTTTTTTTTCTTTCATGCAATTGTTCCTAACATATTTATAAAATGATTTTTTTGTTGCTTTGTATGTCCCTCCCCCATGGTATAACCTCTGCTTTCACTGTATTTGATGTTGGTATAATTTGTGGAGGAGAAGGGAAAAAACAAATGGTTTAAATAGGGATACAGGTGGACCCATTGCAACAATGAGATGTACAAGTCGTTATGTCGAAAATGAACTTTACAACTTTGGTGTGGGGGGAGAAGTTGGAGGGCATATGGGAAGGAATGGGAAGGGGAAACAATGGAGGAAGCAACAATGCTTGATAAGAAATGTACTCATTATCTTGCCCATGTAATTGTAACCCCTTTGTACGGTATTTTCACAATAAAAGAAAAATCACAGGTCCTTGAGAGCTACATACAAAAGGCATTTCAAGGGAGTCTCATAATAATAGTTTAACAAGGTGAAAGTTTTAGCAAAAATTGATTTTGGTGTAACAGAATAACAAAGGGAGAAATAAACAAGAGAAAAACATATTATGCTTTTCATGCAGGAAATAGGAGTGAAAATTTCCAAATATCACCTGACACTAGTGGTTCACACCTGTAGTCCTAGCTACTTAGGAGGCTGAGAGCTACAAATCACAGTTCAAAGCCAGCATAAGCATACAAATTCATGAGATTCTTATCTTCAATTAGTCAGCAAAAAGCTAGAAGTAGTATTGTGCCTCATGTGGTAAAGTGCCAGCTTTGAGTAAAAAACCAAGTGAGCTGGGTACTGCTGGACCATAATCCTGGCTACTCAGGAGGCTAAGATCTGAGAGTGGTTGAAAACCAGCTAGAAAGTCCATGAAAGTCTTATCTCCAATTATCTGCTAAAAATGATGGACGTGGACATGTGGCTCAAAGTGGTAGAGTACTAACCTTGAGCAAAGTATTTAGAGACAGTGCTATGGCCCTGAGTTCAAGCCCCAGGACTAACAACAACAAAAAGTGAGAATGTAAGGCCATGAATTTAAGCACTAGTACACCCCTCCACAAAGTATCCCTCCAAATCTCTAGACTGTTCAGTTCTTTGAAAGGAAGTACTCTATAATTTTTCAGCTATGTAGCCTCATGGCTTTATATTGTACGAACATTGTAAGTACTATCTTTACTTGGTTCTATTTAACTTTATAGTGGTAGTAGTAGTAGTAGTAGTACTACTACTACTACCAGTCCTGGAGTTTGAACTCCAGGCCTGGGCACTGTCCTGAACTTCTTTTGCTCAAGACTAGCACTCTGGAAGAGGTGCTGTGGCTCAAGCTGTAGTGCGCTCACCTTGAGCTGAAGAGCACAAGGACAGCGCCAAAGCCCAGAGTTCAAGCCCCACGACTGACAAAAACAAAAACAAAAAAGACTAGCACTCTACCACTTAAGCCACATTCCCAGCCTCAATCAGAGACATTTTAATGCTGAGAAATTTCTCTCCTTATTCTCTTCCAGATCCTCATCACATTTAGAATGCTCAGTACAGTAGTATATAGGGGATTCAACTCTATAATGACATCAGGACTTCAAGGATGAGGCAGAAGTATTTCAAATTCAAGGCCAGCATTGGCTAGATAGTAAATTTGAGGCTAGCCTGAACTATGGAGGACCTGCCTAAAAAATAAAAAAATAAAAAGCAGAGTATGAGAAATAGAGATTTTAAAACCACCTGTGTTGAAAATCAGGTTAGAAGTCATGACAAATCCAGAAACAGGAACAAAAAGCAGACATTGTTAAGTAAAAAGTAAAAATCTGTCTAGGTGCCAGTGGTTCTCACCTGTAATTCTAGCTAGTCAGGAGGCTGAGATCCAAGGATGGGGATTCAAAGCCAACTCAGGAAGAAATCCTTGAGACTCTTTTTTTTTTGGGGGGGGAGGGAGTCCAGTCGTGGGGCCTGAACTCGGGGCCTAGGTGCTGTCCCTCAGCTCTTCAGCTCAAGGCTAGCGCTCTACCACTTGAGCCACAGCGCCGCTTCCGGCTTTTTTCTTTTTGCTTATGTGGTGCTGAGGAATCGAACCCAGGGCCTCATGCATGCAAGGCAAGCACTCTACCACTGAACCACCTTCCCAGCTCCCCTTGAGACTCTTATCTCCAATTAACTACCAAAAATCCAGAAATGGAGCTGTGGCTCAAGTGATAGAGCAGCAGACTTGGGTAAAAAAGAAAACAAAGCTCAAGGACAGAACCCTGGGTCTGAGTTCAAACCCCAGAACTGCCTGTAACACCTCCCCCCTCCAACTCCTCACCAAAAAAAGGTAAAAAGTCAGTGTCTAGGGAAATCCAATAATGGAATCAAAAAGCAAAATGGGTCAAAGCCAAAAGGATGCCCTAAATGCCAATGAGACCATAAGTTTGAGATGCAGACAAAACTCGGCAGAATTCCTGTGACCTCTGTTTAGCAGAATTGTATTGTTCTCCAATTTCAGTGTGTAAAATCTTTTATTCCAAGAATGCCTTAAAGGATCACCCATTCAAGGCCAGCCTGGGATATGTAATAAGTCTGAGGCCTTGTCGGGCTCCATGACAAGACCCTGTCCTAAAACAAAACAGAAAGCAGAAAGATGCTCCCTTCATGCTCAATACTACAGTATACACTCAGATATGACACCCAAACATCACACTCTTTTCTCCATTCTTTCTCTCCTGTGACTAGCTAATCTTTCTTCCTTTAACAGTCCTTGTTTTATGAGCTCATCTTTTTACAGTCTACCTCAACAATGTCAGTATATCCCAAGATTTCTGCCTTTATCTTTTCTTGTTCCTACCCATGGCTTCAACTATATCACTGTTTCCACTGGCTTGATAATCCAATGATCTTCACCTGCCATTTCAAACTCAAGACATTCATAAACTCAATAGTGTATATTAATTTCTTCTCAAACCCAAAGTTCAAGTCTATATTCCCTAGCATTCACAATCCCTAGTGCTGGGTTCAATCCCTAATACTAAAAGGAGGGGGGAAAAACAAAAAGATTAACTGGCAACTTCTGAATTGTATATTTTTAGGTCTCTTCTTCATCTCTCAATATCATGTAATCCAAATAGAATTTTTTATTGTGCCAGTCCTGGGGCTTCAACCCAGGGCCTGGGTGCTGTCCCTGAGCTTTTTGATCAAGGCTAGTGCCCAGGACCATCACACACACACACACACACACACACACACACACACACACACACACACACACGGGGGGGGGGGGGGGGGGGGGTAATGAGGAAAATGAAAAGGCAGGAGTACACATGGCTCCTTGAGAGAAAAACTAAGAAAAAATAAAACCACATCAAAAACTTACAATTGGCCAGCAAGGCGTCCGGTCAAAATATTTTCCAGAGTATATGGGTCTGATGCAGTGTGGAGGTTCCACTCCTGGTTCAATGTTTTCAGGCTCCTTTTTCTCTTTAGGTTGTTCGACAAACTGGTTCTGAGGGGGTTCAATCACCAAGCCCATTTGGGGCTCTAGCTCCTTAGTTTCATTGGACCTGTCAGCTATGGGAAGCCCAATGTCTACCTTCACAGAGTCCATCTCTATGCTGGGTTTAACTACAACACAGGTGGGCTTTTTTTCCTGTGTCCCCCTGAAATCGGATACCCTATCAACTCCTAAATTATCCTTCTCCCTTAAAGTCCCAGGCAAAGCCTGTCTTTCTAATCTCATTTCAAGCCCCTGGCCCAGTGGAGATTTTGTTTCTGACGATGCCAACTTTTCGTTATAATTATTACTAACTGCATGGTTCTCTCTCCATAGGCGATTTCCTTTTCCAAATCCTAGTCTAAGCCTTAACTCTGTGGGAGATTTTGTTCTGTAAGTATCCTCCTGTCTCCTAAGTCACCTTCTCCTTCTTGGGTAAAACAGGGGAGATTTCTCCCCAGGTTCCCTGTCGTTCAGGGGGTAGCTGTACCTGGCTGGAGGGAAGTTTGGAAGTCTTTAGGGGACCCCACTCTCACGAAAGAGCACCTCTCCCCCTGATTCCCAGCCCACTGCTTCCGGCCTGCCTCTCACACCAAGCGGAGTTGACAGGGAAGCAGGTGGAGTCTGTTTACACGGTTACCTGGGAAACAGGCTGGGTCTGGGGGCGGGGCTTGGCGAGCTGTTCCTCCCAGGACGATCCCATCCATCTTTCCTTCTCTCCCTTGTATCTTTCTCGGGCCCCAGTATTTTTTTTCCTTCTTTTCTTTTTCTTCCTCTTTTAATTCTTGCTAAATCTGTAGAGCAAGAAAGCTAGAATGGTGTGGCTTTGGGGAACTAGAATAATGGTTCATCAACCACTCTGGTTTCCCAAGCAATTCAGAGTTATTAAGATAGTTTCAAATATAAAATTCTTTACCGCCATTGGCTTAATTTGACCGGTTGTCGTCTGGGAACAAGTAACTCTTGGGTGGTGATCATGTATGTCCTCCCTTGCCCCTAAGTACCTCCACACCGCGTTATTTTTTTTAATTTTTATTGCTGTTATAATGGTAATGTATAGAGGCATTACAGTTACACAAATGAGGTAAGGAGTATATTTCTTTTAGGGCAATGCTATCCCTTCCCTTGCTCTCTCCTAGTTTTTCCTTCCCTTCCCACCCACAAGCTGTGTAGTTCATTTTCAACATAGTGGCCAGTACCATTGCTGCATTTGTACACCCTTTGTCCCTCCATTCACATGTAGTTAATGCTAAAAACCTACTTGTGGTTGGTAGTATGTCTGAACCCAGGATCTCACATAGGCCATCACTGTAGTCCTGACTTGAGCTAAATCGCTCGAAAGCATTAGTTGAGAGTCAAGCACTAGGTCACACCTGTGATCCTAGCTACTCAGATGTCTGACAATTCAAAGCCAGCCCAGCAGGAAATTTTGTGAGACTCACCTCCAATTAGCCACCAGGAAACCAGAAGTGGTGTTGTGGCTCAAAGTGGTAAAGTGCTAGCCTTGAGTGTAAACGTTAAGGGACAACACTCAGGCGGAGTTCAACCCCCATGACTGACAAAAACAAAACAAAACACTATTCTGGCAAAGTGTGGTGAAGAACACTTGTAAAACCCATGACATAGCAAGACCTGGTCTCAAAAAAAAAAAGTGAGTAGGATATTATTTCTCATTTGCAAAAAAACTATTTATTTATGGAAACAGCCAGATGCCCTACAACAGATAAGTGGATCCAAAAAATGTGGTACATACACATTTTACACAGGTATTAGAATAATATTATGTCATTTACAGGGATGGCCCTAGAACTAATCATGTGAAGTGAGGTAAACTAAGGTCAAGAGAGGCAAACAGCACCTTTTTGCTCATATGTGGAAGCTAGATCTAAAATTCCCAGGATTTAGTCAACTATAGAGGACTCTAGAGTATCCAAAGGTGGATACTCTTAAGGAGAAACACAAAGGTGCAATGCCTATATGCCTCTGATCATATAAAATAATATTCATTGAAATGAGCTCTTTTCTGTATATCTTGTTTGTTCATTTATCAGTCTAGGGGGTGGTAAGGGGAAGTACAGAAAGGGAGGGACAAGGGGTGAACAAATGCAGCAGTGGTTCTCACTAGACACTATGTGGAAAATGAACTGTACAACTTGTGGGTGTGGATGGGAGGGAAAAACTGGAAGAGAGAGAGGGAAGGAGTGACATTGTCCAAAAAGAAATGTACTCATTACCTGATGCATGCAATTAATTGTAACCCTTCTATATACCACCTTTATAACACAATGTTGGGCTGGGAAGGTGGCTCAGTGGTAGAGCGCTCGCCTTGCATGCTCAAAGCCCTGGGTTTGATTCCTCAGCACCACACAAGCAAAAAGAAAAAAGCCGGAAGTGGCGCTGTGGCTCAAGTGGTAGAGCGCTAGCCTTGAGCTGAAAAGCTGAGGGACAGCGCCCAGGCCCAGAGTTCAGGCCCCATGACCGGACCCAAAAAAAAAAGAACACAATGTTTTGTTTTGTTTTTTGCCAGTCCTAGGGCTTGAACTCAGGGCTTGGGCACTGTCCCTGAGCTTTTTTTACTTAAGGCTAGCACTCTACCACATGGTCACAATACCATTTCCAGCTTTTTCTGTGTATGTGGTACTGGAATCAAACCCAGGGCTCCATGTATGCTAGGCAAGCATTCTACCACTAAGCCACAATCCCAGCTCCCCTCCTCCCAATTAATTAATTAATATTCTTTTTTTGTGGTTGTGGGGCTTGAACTCTGGGCCTGGGCACTGTCTCTCAGCTTTTCACCTCAAAGCTAGTGATCTACCACTTGAGCCACAGTGCCACTTCCAGTTTTCTGAGCGGTTTATTGGAGGTAAGAGTCTCCTGGACTTTCCTGCCTGGGCTGGCTTTGAACCATGATCCTCAGATCTCAGTCTCCTAAGCAGCTAGGATTATAGGCATGAGCCACCAACACCTAGCTCCCCCCAATTTTTTTAAACTGCTTGTTTACTGTAACATTTTTTTAAAAAACCAGTCCTAGGGTTTGAACTCAGGGCCTGAGCTCTGTCCCCAAGCTTCTTTTTTTAGGGGGGAGTCTGGTCGTGGGGCCTGAACTCTGGGCCTGGGCGCTGTCCCTCAGCTCTTCAGCTCAAGGCTAGCGCTCTACCACTTGAGCCATAGTGTCACTTCCGGTTTTTTTCTTTTTGCTTATGTGGTGCTGAGGAATCGAACACAGGGCCTTAGGCATGCAAGGCAAGCGCTCTACCACTGAGCCACTTTCCCAGCCCCTCCCTGAGCTTCTTTTGCTCAAGGCTAGCACTCTACCACTTGAGCCACAATGATACTTCTGGCTTTTATGTGCATGCTAGGCAAGCAATCTACCACTAAGCCACATTCCCAGCCCTGTAACTTTCTTTTTCTTTTCTTTTTTTCTTTTGTCTGACATGGGACTTAAACTCTGGGCCTGGGCCCTGTTCCTGAGCTCTTCAGCTCCAGGAGAGCACTCTACCACTTGAGCCACCAAGCCATTTCCAGTTTTTTGGTGGTTAATTGGAGATAAGAGTCTCTTGGACTTTCCTGCCAAGGCTGGCTTTGAACCATGATCCTCAGATCTCAGCCTCCTGATTAGCAAGGATTACAGGCGTAAGCCACTGGCTCCTGGCACAGCCCTATAACATTCTACATCATTTATATAAATGCTCTAAATATTTTGCTCCCCATAAGCTGTTTTGTTTTTGTTTTTAGATCTGAGACTGGGCCTCAAACTCCTGTATCTGATGCTTCATTGGCTGGCATTCTACCAATTGAGCCATGCCTCCAACTCCTCCCCATAAATTCTTTAAATGACTCAATATTGTGCACACAAGGCATGTTTGTATGGGGACTTATTGAATTCATTCATTCTGCAAATATGTATTGAGTGTTTGTGTCATCCTGGGAGTATAAAATAATACTTTCTGTTCCTTATCTCACAGTGCCTACATTGTAATAGAGATACATAAGTAAACCAGTAAAGAAAATCATTTCAGCTGTCACTATGAGCTCACGTCTGTTACTCATGAGATTGAGATGAGATTGAGATCAAAGGATCAAGGTTCAAAGCCAGCCTGGACAGGAAAGTCCCATGAAACCCTATCTCCAATTACCAACAAAAAGTTGGAAGTAGAGCTGTAGCTCAAGAGGTAGAGCACCAGCCTTGAGCAAAAAAACTAGGAGACAGTACCCAGACACTGACTTCAAGCTCTGGGACTAGCACAAAAGAAGGAAAAAAAAAAAGAAAATCATTTCAGGTAGCCAAGTGTTGAGAAAAACAAAACAAACAAAAAAACAGCTGTTTTGATGTGAAGGAAATTTTTAAGAACTAGAACTCTTAGAAGTCCCTTTTGACAACTGAAGCCTGGATTATATTTTTCAGACACAAGTTTGTTTTTTGTTGTTGTTGTTGGTGGTGGTGGTGTGTGTGTGTGTTTGCACTAGTGCTGAGGCTGGAATTTATAGAGCCTGGGCACTGTCTCTGAGATTATTTTTGCTCAGAGCTAGCATTCTATGACTTTAGCCACAGCTCCACTTCCAGCTTTTGGTGGTTATTTAGAGATAAGTGTCACACAGCCTTTTCTGCCCAGGTTGGCTTTGAACCGAGATCCTCAGATCTCAGCCTCCTGAGTAGTTAGGATTACAGGCATGAGCCACTGGCACCCAGTAAGACACAAGCTTTTTATTTTTAGTGCTGTTGAGCCAAGAGCTTCAGTCCTGCCAAGCATATGTTCCAAAACTGAGCTATGCCCTAACCCCATACTAATGCATCTTCAATATGACTTCTGTAAGTTCCCCTAGCCTTTTCCTCACTGTCTTGACACCATGCCTTGTACCCGAGCCACTATTTGGTTTATGTCCAGGAAAAAAAAATTACCCCAAATAACCTTGTTCAAAAGTAACTGTTGCCCAGCGCCAGTGGTTCATGCCTGTAATCCTAGCTACTCAGGAGGCTGAGATCTGAGGACTGCAGTTCAAAGCCAGCCTGGACAGGAAATTCTGTGAGACTATTATCTCCAATTAACCACCAGAAAACGGGAGTTGGTGCTGCTGTGGCTCAACTGGTAGAGTGTTTGCCTTGAGCTGAAGAGTGCAGGGAAAGCACCCAACCCCAGAGTTCAAGCCCCAGGACCGACAAAAACAAAAAAGGTAACTGTTAGCTGGGCATGGTGATATATGCCTATAATCTCAGCCCTGAAGCTAAGGTACATGGACTGAGAATCTGGGGCTGCATAGGGAGACCAACAACAAAGGTAACATAGCCATTCATTATGTTCTAGGAAAAGATTCATTTATTTCTTCTTATTAATATTTACTTATTAGTTTATACTGGTTATAGGGGAGGATTCATTGAAAGATTTATATCCAACTACACAAAGGAGGAAAAATAATCACAAAGAAAAAGTAGAGGATATGTTGCTAGTTGTTGAAAGCAGCCAAGCCCTGGGAATTTATGATTTGGGCCATTACGGATCTGAAGGAAACATAAAGACTAAAGGCTAAAGGCCTTTTTTTTTTTTTTTTTAGATGACTTTATTTAGCCTCATTCTTTTCTTTTGTGGGGGTTGGGAGGGCGGGGTAGGAGCGGTAACTGAGGCTTGAACTCAGGGCCTCATGCTACTCGGTAGGCCTTGCTTGGCTGATACGCATCATTTAAGCCATACCACCATCCCTCTTTTGACAATTATTTTGGAGATGGAGTCTCACAAACTTTTCTCCTCAGGCTGGCTTCTAACTATGATCCTTTAGATTTCGCCTCCTTGAGGATTATAGGAGTGAGCCACTGACTCCTGGCAAGGCCCATCCATTTCGTAGCTTGCTTAACAAATCCAATCAATTAGTAGGACTCTACATTTGACCCTCTCCCCTCTGCGCCCAATCATTTTATGTATCTAAAGATGGAATATGAAGGATTGACCCCCATCCTATTATTCCAGATCCATACAGAAGCCAGGCAAAACTCCAGGTGTGTGTGAACTTGTTTGATGTGCTAGGCAGGACAATCCACCCTAAGCCCAGCTGTAAACATCCCATTGTGGGCCCAACTGGAAAGCCCCCACTTCCCTTGACCTAGTGGCTTTTTCATTAACCTCTGCCTCCTTGCTCAGACCGCATATAAAAACCCAGCTGCTTTTCCAATTCCCTTCCACAACCTCCAAACCCACGGGAATGTCTGTGCCCCTCGCTGTTCCTCAATAAACTGTCCTTGCCTGTTGATGATTGAGTCCAACCTATTCCTTTTCCCTTCTCCTCCATTTTCCCAACTCTCAGAGTTAGGAAAAAAGAAAGCACAAGTGTATCTTGAGTTGCAACTCAAAAGCTTCACTGAGGCATTTCAGTATCTTTAAAATACCACTATTCAAAACACTTGTTAAAAATGCACAAGGCTCTTAGTTATAGCTCTACTACTACCAACAAGTAATACATAAATAAAATCACTAGGTGTTTAGAAGTGCTAGCCAGTGAGTCAACACCCTCCCACGCAAACATTATAATCAAACTATAAAATAAAGTGGAATTTCTTCATTAAGTTGGTAAATTAAAAGATAAAATCAGTAAACAAAAACGAATGAGGCAATATTCTAGAATAATGAAATAGGGTGTTCCTAGCGACTCATAAATGTCAACATCTAATATGTTACTAGTGAGATTTTAAGTCAACTGTTCATTCCAAATGTATTTAATTCTGAATGGAACTAAATATTTGAGGGTTCCTATTACATCAAGCCAAGTCTTCTGTGTGAAACTCAAATGATGCATAACTGAGGGTGCATATCCTTAAAAATTAAGTGACTGTATGCTAAGGAAAGACTAACTGAAATACCATTGTATAGAGTAAAACTCTCTATGGTGTTTCTTCTGTACAAAATAAATTAAGCTGGGCCCTGGTGGTTCACATCCGTAATCATGGCTATTTGGAAGACTGAACTCTGAGAATCACTGCTTGAATCCAGCCTGTTCAGTAAAGTCTGAGACTCTATATCCAATTAGCCACCAAAATGCCAAAGTGGAGCTGTGGCAAAATGGTAGACCACTAGCCTTGAGCAAAAAAGATCAGAGATAGACCCCAGGCCTTGAGTTCAAGCCACAGGACCAGCATACAAACACAAAAAATATGTAGGTTTATATATATTTATATATACATAGTTTACATTTGTACAGGAATACACATATTTATATAAATATATACTATATATTTTATAACTATATACTGTATAAATACATTTATATATAGATTACATAAATATATAAGTATATATTTATATATTTTTATAACAAATATATATAAATGTGAATGGGAACTAGAGTTAAATATCTTCAGATTTCAGTTAGCAAATACTATCATTAGATTTTGTGTGTTTGTGTGTATTATTGGGGATTCGAGCTGTTGAACTTGCTAGGCAAGCAGAACCATTGAAGCCATGCTTCCTTCTCCTCAGACATTTTTTTTTTTTTTTTTTTATTTTTTATCCCGTCGTGGGGCCTGAACTCTGGGCCTGGGCACTGTCCCTCAGCTCTTCAGCTCAAGGCTAGCACTCTACCACTTGAGCCACAGCGCCACTTCTGGCTTTTTTCTTTTTGCTTATGTGGTGCTGAGGAATCGAACCCAGGGCCTCATGCATGCAAGGCAAGTGCTCTACCACTGAGCCACCTTCCCAGCCCCCTCCTCAGACATTTTTGAATAGGAGAGTAGCTAGCTAACATGTAAAGAGTGGACTGAAAAGGCGGGAGTATGGATTTCAGTTTCTAGGAATGCAACCATGATCCACACATTAGGATTAGACCTCAAATTTGGGGACTTAAAGAGAATTTTTGTTGCTAGAACAGATTACATACCAGGCACGGGTGCCTCATGTCTCTAATCCAAGCTTTTCAAGAGGCTGAGATCTAAGGATTGCAGTTCAAAGCCAGTCAAGGCAGGAAAGCATGCAAGACTCTTATTTCCAACTGCCAAAAAAGTCAGAAGTGGAGCTGTGGCTCAAGCAGTAGCTAATTATGAGCAAAAAAAGTTCAGGACAATGGCCAGGTCCTGAGTTTCAAGCCCCAGGACTAGCATTAAAATAAAAAAAAAAAGTAGGTTATGAGTGATAATGATGCTGTAGTTTGTCTCATGTCTGGGTGACATGCCAATTCATGCTAGTCACTAAATGGAAGCTAGTTTAGAGTAGAATAGGTTGGGTTTAGCACATGTTGTCAACATGACAAAATGGATGTGACATTTCCTGTTTCCTGATTCTTCCTGGGATTGTCCACAATCTGCTATTATGAGTAGCACATCACACTGGCACCAATCCTTAGGGATAAAATGCCACAGATCCCATTTACATATGACACATTTTGTTCTTCTGGTAATTAGGGAGTTATCTGAAAGACTGGCTCAAAACATCTTCAAATCATCTTCACTGCCCAGTGTTGAAAGGCACCCACGGGATACCTTATCCCAGGTATACTTCAAAGTAAGAGGGTTGTAAATTATAAATCACAAACTGAAAAGTAGCCTTTATTCTCAAGTGACATCAATTTAACATTCTTCTAGAAAATTACTAATTCCGGGGAGGAAGGAGGAAGTGCCTGGTTTTGAATACCTAGCCAGAAAAGACTCCCGGTATGGAAATCACCCAGAGAAGCATGTCCTAAGCAGATCTGCTGCGGAACGGGCCCATTGTGGATGGTCCTTCGATGAAGATTTCTCCTACTGGAAGCCAATGCAGGTTAGAATCCAGCTTCATTACCAAAGAGGCAGTGAACTCAGGTAAGTTACTCAATTACTGCGGCCTCAAATTCTTGGCCAGTAAAAAAACAAAACATGCCTCAACCACTCATTTATTCATTCCACAACCGTGAAGACTCCCATCCAGTCTTCCGGTGAGGACTGGATATGGGGTTCGAGAGGGGAAGGCTACTGTGAAAGGGAGACGGGCGAGGCGTTTCCTAACAGATCTGGATAATCCCCCCCCCCCCCCCCGATCTTAAGCATAGCAAGTAACTCTCAAGAGGTAATTCTGAACAAAAGTTACTTTAGGGCTCGATCCCTCCCTCCCGCAAGCTCCCTACAAAGCAAAAACCAGGCAAGCTTTCCAGGAAAGTGGTCTTCACCCTGTTCTCCTCCTCGAGATGATTTACCCGCTGACCGATCCCCGGGAAAATGTGGGGTGGGGTGCGGGGGAGCCGATGGATACAACCCTAGAAAACGCCGATCTGCGGGGTTGTTGGCAGGATGCAGGATTGAGAATGCGGGCGGGTGCGGGGGGGGGGGGGGGGGCGGCTGGGACAGAATATCCAGAGGAAAGCTCACCGCCCTCCGACCCAAGTTCCTCCACGGTCCCCGCGGCGCCCGGGCACCCGCCCCGGCCGGCCCGCAGGCCCCGGCCGGCCCGCGGTCCCCGCGGTCCCCGCGGTCCCCTCCTAGATAACAATGGCGCTGCCGAGGGCGGGGCCGCGCGCTCCGGCCCCGGAGGCCCCGGGGATCGCAGGGAGGGCAGCAGTCTCCCTCACCCGAAGCAGCTCTCGGGAGTCACGTGACACCGTTCCCATTTCCCTCCTCCTCCCCCACCCCCACCCCCGGGTCCCTTCCCTCCCCTCCCATCGACGTCTCCTCCGCCCCACCGCCCCCTCCGGCTCGGCCCAGGATTGGAAAAACCGAGAGAGGAGGGGGCGGGCGACAGAACGGATGGGGCGGGCGGATAAGACGACGAGCGGAAGTGACGGAGGAGCGTAGTCGGCTGCGCGCGGCGACGTGGCGGCGGGACGGGCGCGCCGAGCAGCGGAAGTGGCTGCAGCGCTGGGACCCGAGTGTTTGTGTTTTGGTTTCGTGCAGGAGCCGGCGGCCGGCGTGAGGGGAGGAGGCCCTAGAGGGAGGAGGAGGAGGAGGAAGAACTAGTCCGGACTGGAGCGCCCGCGGCTGGCGGCGGCGGCGGCGGAGGAGGAGAAAGGAAGCAGGAAGGCGGAGCGGAGAGAGGCGGGGACGGAGCCCGGCAGGGGCGGCACCGCGGCTCGAGCCCCGCCGCGTCCAGTGTGAGGCGAGAGGCGCCGGGAGGAGACGCCGCCGTCACCGCCGCCAGCGCCGCCGCCGCCGCCCGGGCCTCGTCCGTCCTCCCGGCCACGCCTGGGCCTCGCTCCCGGGAAGCTGCGGCCCCGCGCAGGTAACCGAGCCGCCCCTCCCCGTGCGTGCGCCGAGCGGGCCCGGGATCCCGGCTGGGTCCGCGGCCCGGCCCCGCACCCAGCCTCCCCGCCCTTCCTCACTCGCCACAGCCGAGACCCTGGAGTCTTCTTGGACGGCCCAGCCTGGAGACTGATCCCTCCGGGAGCTCGGGGTTGGGCAGTGTGTGTGTTGGGAGGGGGGGGGGTGTCACCCTCTTCCCTTCTCAAGATGGCGCCGTGGAAGAGCCCCGGAGGCCGCGATCCCCGCCTGGCCTTCGTCCTGGGGTCTCCAATCCGGGCTAGGCTGGGATCGGGAGGCCGCTCGGGAGGGCGGTGGCAGGGCCTGGGTTGAGTCCTGCCGCTCCAGCAGGCACTCGAAGCTAGACTCTGAGGGGCTCCCCACTAGGGGTGCCGGGGGGGGGGGCCCACGGCAGGTGTGAATTTGGGGAGCTCCGCCCACCCCCCCCCCACCCCCCGATTTGCGAAGATGGGTAATGCAAACGGTTGGGAGTTTTTCGTCCACCCCGGCCGGCTGGAGCCTCCGTCTGGTGTCATCTGTGGGAGGCGGTGGGTGAGTCCTGGCTTTAAAGTGGAGTTGAGGAGCCACCACCAGGCTACCTATTTCCTTCATGGGTAGAGACCAAGAAACCCGCTCTGCTATTCCCATCTGGGCAAGCTGGATTACCCCCTCGAGACCTCCTGGCATAACTCACGTACTTAGTGTTTGTCCTGTCCGAGTGGCATCAAAATGCTGAATCAGTCTTGCCTTGCGTGTAATAAGAAAAATAGCACCTTCGTGTACACCTCTGGGAACGCTCAGGCTTAACAGAATACATAGATTATTTGAGTTGTAAGCAAAATACAGTAGAAGAGTGCCTGGCATAAGACCCAGAATGCACATTCTGCAAAAGCCTTATTTTGAAGAAAAAACGTTTAATGACCGAGTACAAGTGATTGCATTTTTTTTTCTTTTTAAAGTGGTGCTGGATATTAAACCCAGATCCTCTGACATGCAAGTTCACCACTGAGCTGCATCTCCAGACCTTGGGTGTAGTTTTTACCTTAATAAAATTTGGTTTATTTCCTGTTGGAGATCTCTAGCTTTGAGCAGGGTGCCAGTGGCTTACACCTGTAAATCCTGGATCATGGTGTTTCAAAGCCAGCACAGGCACTTTGCTTTTTTTGTTTTGTTTTGTTTTTGTTTTTGGCCAGTCCTGGGGCTTGAACTCAGGGTCTGGGCACTGCCCCTGAGCTTCTTTTGCTCCAGGCTAGCACTCCACCACTAGAGCTACAGGGCTACTTGCTGGTTCTTCTGTTTGTGTTACTGAGTAATCAAATCCCGGGCTTCATGCATGCTAGGCAAGTACTCTATCCCTAAGCTACATTTCCAGCAGCACTCCTTCTCCTCCCCCCCCCCCCCCCCCCAGGAGCTGTGGCCCAAGTCTTGGAGTGCTAATCTTCAGCACAAGCTCAGAGGCAGTGCTCAAGCCCTGAGTCAAGCCTTAGGACCTGCACACAAAAAAAAAGCTTTGGAAGTCAAAACTTAGAAACTTTCTTGGCTTTTCTATGAGAATCTGATAAAACTCTGACAGGACCATCAAGTTGTCCCTGATAAACCACTTACTGTTCTCTAGATAAACAATTGGCAAGTGTTTATAAATTGATAGTGTGTGTTCCTGAAGGTATGTTGATACATTATCTACGTGACATTCTATTGATGTGTGAGCATTATCTCATCAATGGACCATTTTAATTGCCAATTGTAGTCTCTGCTATGTGGTACACACTGCATTAAAACATTGTTTCCATGTGTTGTCCCTTAATTCTCAAATTAAATATGCACCTTAGATATTATGAAATAAAGACTCAGACATTAAAGAATTTACCCCAACAGAATTAATATAACTGGGATTAGACTTTGGAATCTGGTGTGTTTTTTTTAGGTGAGGTGGGATAGTGGAAGCAGATTAGATTTATCATTTTATCTATAAATATGCCAGTATCTATAGGTAAAGATAAGGTCTCTAAACGTAACATAGATGAGTCTTGAGAACTAAAAACTCATGGATTTGTTTAGTAATAAATTCCTTATTCTCAGAGGTGTTTCTTACATAAACTTAAATTACATGGCATAGCTAATTCCTATGAGGTGCCTCGCTAAAATATAGGAAGGTTAAGAAAGAATCATACAGATTGTTATATGTTTTGTTACTAAGAATATAAATAATAGTTTGGTTAAAGGTGACAATAAACTGTTAAGATTGATTTGTGAGTAGAGCTGTAATCTTATCACTTGGGAATTGGAAGCAAGATCACACCAGCTTGAGCTACACAGTGAGTCTCTGTCTCAGAGATCTCAAAAAAAATGGTGCTGGGAATGTGGTTTAGTGGTAGAGTTAGCATGCATGAAACCCTAGATTTGATTTCTCAGTGCCACTTAAACAGAAAAAGCAAGAAGTGGTAAGCGCTAACCTTGAACACAGGCTCAGGGACAGAGAGCCCTGAGTTCAAGCCTCAGGACCAACAAAACAACAACCACAAACAAAACCAAGACTAAAGACTAATGGCATAAATATGTTAAGTCCAAAAGCTACAAAAATTTTGCAGTTTAAGTAGTTACTATTAACCCACTAGATAGAGATTGTTAACATTTCCTTATGTGGAGTACTTGAGCACATGAGAAAACAGGAAGTGTTAATTAAATGAAAATCATCATTTAACAGAGGCCTTCAAGTACTAATATCTAGGTTCTTTACTATTTAAATGATTTCCATGTATTAGGATTCCTCAAATTAATTTTAACCCAAGAAATGTGGCTCAGAACCTCAACTTCTTTTGGTAGTACTAGGATTTGAACTCAGGACCTTACTGCCAAACAACTGCTTTACCACCTGAGCCACACCTCCAGCTCCAGAATCTAAACTCTTGAGTCACCTTTCAGATTGCCTGTGTTTGAAACCCAGCACCTTCTTACTTCTGTGACCTCAATCAAATTAACCTTTTTGTTCTTGTCTTATTTATAAGGATTGCAATAGTACATAACTGAATATTGTTGAGTCCCTATATTACATAGCCACAGAATCAAGTCCTTTAAATTTTCACTTTTTTTTGCCAGTCATGGGGCTTGAACTCAGGATGTGGGCACTGTCCCTGAGCTGCTTTTTTGCTCAAGGCTAGTGCTCTACCACTTGAGCCACAGTACCACTTCTGGCTTTTTCTTTTATGTGCTACTAAGGAATCGAACCCAGGGCTTCATGCGTGCTAAGCAAACAATCTACCACTGAGCCACATTCTCAGCCCCCATTTTTTTTTTCTTTTTAATAAAAAACAAGATCTATCCACTTAGCCCAAGTTAGTCTTGAATTTGAGATGTTCCTGCCTCAGCCACTGCAGGCTATTGCTACCAAGCCCTGTTAGGAATGTTAGCCTTAAAAACACCAAACAAACTGAAAATTTAGGCTTTACTCTTTTTTTTTGTCAGTGATGGGGCTTGAACTATGGCCTCAGCTCTTCAGCCCCAGGCTAGCGCTCTACCACCTGAGCCCCTCCTGAGCCAGGGCACCACTTCTGGCTTCTTCTGCTTATGTGGTGCTGAGGAATCGAACCCAAGGCCTCATGCAGGCAAGGCAAGCACTCTACCACTGAGCTACCTTCCCAGCCCCCCAGCTTTACTCTTATGTTTTTAAATTGATTTCCTTTAAAAGGTAGTGAAATAAAGTAAATGAGGTTAAATGTCCAGTAGAGGTTCTAATTGCCATACAATAATAGGCTGTGGGCCAAACTCACTACATAGTGATCAATGCTGGATTTGCTTTGTTTTACTAATTTGTGTGTTTAATTTGTCTCTTTACAGGTCTCTTTATCTCCAGAAAGAAAAAAATTGATACCTTGCATCCTGGAAGTTCATTTAGCACTGTGAAATTAGGAACTTCTTTCAAATTTGGATATGGCTAATCGAGGAGCAACAAGACCCAATGGGCCAAATACTGGAAATAAAATATGCCAGTTCAAACTAGTACTTCTGGGAGAATCTGCCGTTGGCAAATCAAGCCTAGTGCTACGTTTTGTGAAAGGCCAATTTCATGAATTTCAAGAGAGTACCATTGGGGGTGAGATTACCTTTTTTCTTTGCATCATTTAACTGAAACATATAGTAATAAATACATTGATGGTGTTGTGTGATTATGAATAACTATACAAGGAGCAAAAAACTTTGAGTAAGCCAGGCGCTGGTGGCTCATGCCTATAATCCTAGCTACTCAGGAGACTAAGATCTGAGGATTGCAGTTCAAAGCCAGCTCGGGCAGGAAAGTCTGTCAGATTCTTATCTCCAATTAATTATAGAAAAAGCTGGAAGTGGTGCTGTAGGCTCAAGTAGTAAAGTGCTAGCCTTGAGCTGAGGGGCAGTGACCAGGCCCAGAGTTAAATCCCCACTGCTGACTGCACCCACCCACAACCCCCCCCCCCCAAAAAAAAAAGTTTTTAGTAGATTTCATTACTTGATTCTTACCTTGGTTTTTGTTAGGATAAAAACTACATGATTAGTGGGGCACCAGTAACTCACACCTGTAATCCTAGCTACTAAGGAGGCTGAGATCTAAGGATCACGATTCAAAGCCAGCCTGGGAAGGAAAGTCTGTGAGACTCTTATCTCCAATAAACCACCAGAAAACTGGAAGTGATGCTGTGGCTCAAGTGGTAGAGAGCTTGCCTTGAACTGAAGAGCTGAGGGACAACGCCCAGGCCCAGAGTTCAAGCCCCACAACCAACAACAACAACAACAAAAGCTATGATTTTTCTGGTTAACCCCAACATGGTTGTACTATAGCTAAAATATAGATAGAAATAAAAATATAGTTAATATTCTAAGTTTTGAAAATGAGCTTCTAGCTTATATTAGCTTTAAACTGAAGAGAGTTAACCTTAATTTTAATTCTATATAACTGGACTGCTTAGGTAAAATTGTACCATTTTGTAAAATTAATGTCACCAGGATATACATGTAAAATTTTTAGAAAGCATAAGTAGGGCTGGGAATGTGGCTTAGTGGTAGAGTGCTTGCCTTAGCATTCAAGAAGCCCTACGTTTGATTCCTCAACACCACATAAACAGAAAAAAGCTGAAAAGTGGCATTGTGGCTCAAGTGGTAGATTGCTATCCTTGAGCAAAAGAAGCTCAAGGACAGTGCACAGGCTATGAGTTCAAGCCCTGGAGTGGCAAAAAAGAAAAAAGGCATAAGTAATATGTGTAAAGACACGTTAATAGGAAAATGGGCCCTAGAGCAAAAGGGTAAAAGGAGGATAAGATAGAGTAAGCCTTGCAAGCAGTAATTGTAGTAGAATATAGATGCGAGAGGAGGACCAAGAGGAGAGACAACTGTGTAGTTGTCAAAAGAGGGCTGCAGATTTATGAACTAGATTTTATCAGAAACACAGTTGCATAGCAGTGGGGGAAAAAGCTTCTTGTAGATCAAAATCTCAAATACAAGATGAGATAATGCTTTTTAGCAGTGTTTTTTCCAAAGGTTATTTGTATGTGTGTAATTATTTGCGGCAACGTATTTCAGCCCCAAACTTGTAGGAAGTCTTTTGAAATACAACATATACTCATTATAGTCCATTTTTCAGAAGCAACGCAATGCAGTTAGTGGATGTTCATAAGCAATTTGAGAATTTTATTTATAATCTTGGACCCTTGTGGTAAAATAAAGTTACAAGCTATTTTATCTAGTTAAGTGATGTTTTCCATTTTAATTGACTCACTAGTATAATGATAATTGTCAGCTTTTGCATATTGTGTTGTGGTTCATATTGTTTTACTCTTTTATAATTGCTGATCATCAGAAATATAATTATCATGGAGTTTTTGTATCAGGGAGTTTTGAGTTGAAAACTTGATTTTTTAAAAAAAAAAATGTTGCTGCCGGGTGCTAGTGGCTTACACCTGTAATCCTAGCTACTCAGGAGGCTGAGATATGACAATCACAGTTCAAAGCCAGCCTGGGAAGGAAAGTCCATGAGACTTATCTCCAGTAAACCATCAGAAAACCAGAAGTGGCGCTGTGGCTCAAGTGGTAGAGAGCTTACCTTGAGCTGAAGAGCTGAGGGACAGCAACCATGCCCAGAGTTCAAGCCCCACGACCAACCAAAAAAAAACAAAACGTTAATGGTAATGTTAGTGGTTGATAGTGGATTTCACCTTTAATCCTAGCTCCTTAGGCTGTGATCCAAGCTAGCACAGGCAGGAAAGTCTGGATTCTTATCCAATTAACTGCAAAAGGCTGTAAGTAGAGGTGTAACTCAAGTAGTACAGTCAAACAAAAGCAAGAGCTCAGGGACAGTGTCCATGGCCTGCATTCAAGCCCTTGTACTGCCACCAAAAAAACAACAAACAATATATCGTAAACCCTTATTTAAAGTTTGCTTTTTAGGAAGTAGTACTATGGCTCAAATTGGTAGAGTGCTAGCCTTGAGCAGAAAATTTCAGGAACAATGCCCAGGCTCTGAGTTCAAGCCACATGACCAACAACAACAACAGCAGTTTCCTTTTTAGTGAGTAATGAAATGTTATCTCCCAGGAAGGCTTAGTTTCCAGAAGCAGCTTGGCACAGGTATACCTGATCCAATTAATATAAAGAACTGTAAAAAAAACCTGCTAGGTTGTATCTTTGCACTTTAAGCCATTTGGCTGCCAGTGGCAACATTTTCCACAGTATACAGACATTCTGGGATAAATACCGTTGGCCAAAAAGCTTTAGGACTTGGCTATGTGCTCCCTTTTATCATCCAGGAGCCTGGGAATAACATTTATTTTTGGTAATCCAGTTGTCTTCTATATATTCCATGTAATAACAGATTGTCTACGTTTCATTAAATAAGTTTTTCTGTAAAATTTCATTACTGTGTAGGAAGTTGCACTGTTCTCTAGTTCTATACAATGAGTCTGACTGTTTAAAAGGAATTTGTGTGCAAATTTCTGTGTTGATTGTTGTTAAATACCTTTTCAGTATGCTGTTTGGTTTCTATAGGAGTTATAATAGTGAGAATTGAAAGCTTTTTCTTTTTGTTTTGTTTTTGTTGTTGTTGGTCATGGGGCCTAAACTCTGGGCCTTGGCACTGTCCCTCAGCTCTTCAGCTCAAGGCTAGCACTCCACCACTTGAGATACAGCGCTACTTCCTACTTTTTCTGCTTATGTGGTGCTGAGGAATCTAACCCAGAGCTTCATGCATGCAAGGCAAGCACTCTACCACTGAGCCACACTCCTAGCCCCTGTTGGTCTTTTTTGAGACAGGGTCTATCTATGTACCCATTTGTATCCATTGCTAGACTCAAAACTAGCAGTCCTCCTGCTTTAGTTTCCTAAGTGTGGGGATTACCTGCATTCACTACCACAGGTCCAGAGAGAATTAGTTTTTTAATACCCTTTGCTAATAGCTCTTTGCTCTTAGCAACTATAGCAGTTCCTAAGTATTTAAGCTTCTCAATATTTGAGCTAAAACTAATCAATCTCAAAGGTATCTATCTTGTAAGTAGTAGGTATTTTTTATTTTAACTGATATGTGATGGAAAGTTATCTAGCAAATGTACCTGGTTAACTGTTTTTGCATTTCACTTTTTTTTTTTTTTTGGACGGTTGTGGGGCTTGAACTCAGCTTGGGCGCTGCCCTCAGCCCTTCAGCTCAAGGTGAGCGCTCTAGCCCTTGAGCCACAGCACCACTTCTGGTTTTCTAGTGATTTGTTGGAGATAAGTATCTCAGGGACTTTCCTGCCCTGGCTGGCTTTGAACTGTGATCCTCATATCTTGAGCCATCGGTGCCTGGCACATTTCAATTTTTTTTTTATTACTTTATGTCTAATAATAATATTGTCCTAAGCCAGGCACATGGCTCACACCTATAATCCTAGCTACTCTGGAGGCTGAAATCTGAGGATTATGATTCAGAGGCATCTTAGGCAGGAAAGTCTACCAGACTCCAGTTAATCACAGAAAAAGCTGGAAGTAGCACTGTGGCTCAAGTGGTAGAGAGCTAGCCTTGTGCAAAAGGAGCTCAGGGATGGTGCCCAAGCCCAGAGTTCAAGCCCCAGGACTGGCAAGAAATCATGCTGAAATGTTGAATGATCAGTGCAAGGACCTTCTGTAGTTTGTGTGGTTCTACTAAAAATGTTAACTTGATTTAAGAATCCTTGTTATCTTCTATACTGTTCACTCCCTGAACCTTGTAGCCCTTTGATTAGGATAGATAGGTTGGTGGCAAGATTTGTAATTTGAGAAGTTCTAGCTTGTTTGTAGTAGTTTGAAGTCTACGTGATAGCCAGCCTCTGGTGGCTCATGCCTGTCATCCTAGCTACTGAGGAGGCTGAGATCTGAGGATCATGGTTCAAAACCAGCCCGGGCATGCAAGACCATGAGACTCTTACCTCCAGTTAACTAGAAATCTGGAAGTGGCACTGTGGCTCAAGTGGTAGAGAGCTCCCCTTGAGCTGAAGAGCTCAGGGACAGCGCCAAGGCCCAGAGTTCAAGCCCCAGAGCCAACAACAAATCTACATGATATTTATATTCCTGCTGTTTGCCTAAAATTAGCCTGGAGGTTATTAAAAAAGTATTGGGCATGAAAGGTTGTCTTTCTTAATTATTTCCTTATCTCTAGGCTTAGCTGTTCATCCAAGTCCTTGCTAGATGGTAGGGCTGGCTTTCTTGCACTTAACATCTTGAATATCTAAAAACTTGAAAGATTTCTAGTGAGTTTCTCTTAACACACACACACACACACACACACACACACACACACACACACACACAATTAAGACATTTAACTATTTATACATGAATGGGTCCTAAGTATCATTTAGAATAAGCATTTATCGGTGCTGTTGGGGTTTGTTTTTGTCTTTGTGGTATTGAGGTTTGAACTCAGCCTCAACACTACCACTTAAGCCATGCTCCCAATCTAGATGCTGCGATGCTTGTTGGGGTGTTTCTGTTCCGCAGCACATAAGCGTTACCAGGAACTTGAACTTAGAAAAGTATGCATGCCCATGCTAAATCAAAACATTAAAATAGTGCCAATAATCTAGATTTTTAACACGTCTTCCACATGAATTCTGGTGC